GATCATCAGCGGCACTGTTTGCAACTTGGTCTAGTTCCTGTAGACTCTCACTTGCTAGGACCTTGATTGTGTACTCCTCTATATTTATACCTTTCAGACTGGCCTTGTGGCTTCTCTATCAGTGGTCGGACTACTTCTGCCGCCCTGGTTTACTCTTGCCTTGTTTGTACTCTTGCTGACTGGTCTTCAGACCCCTGCCTCAGAGGTTGGACTAGTAGTGCCACCCTTAGCTGCGTGTTTCTTGCCCAGCACTACCCCTTATCTAGCCTAGGGGGTGTGTCAACTTATACATATGATGTTTTGTAGAAGTTATAGGCTAGATAGGTGTTTGTTCTTAGTGGGTACAATCCCAACACTATATCTCTCTTGTTTCTCCCTTGTTTCATTGTCTTAGTATTTTAACAGGAATTTGGGGGGGGGGGGGGGGGGGGGGGGGGGGGAGGGGGGAAAGGGGGGAGAAGGGGGGGAGGGGAGATGGGGAGGGGGGGGGGAGGAGAAGCAGAAGGCGAAGGAGAGCAAATGCGTATAAGGAGGCGCTGGCGATGATAGACAGGCGCTAGATGAATTGATGGCTGGAATCACGGGAATAACGATTTCAGCAATCACGTCTCGCATGCAGCGACGTGATTTCGTCGCGGGAACGACGTAGAAACGGCGTACCTTTCTCTTGTTCATTTCGCGCACGACTTTTTGCGCCAAAGATATTATCTTATGGTCTTTCGCGGCATTCTTGATAGTAAAATATTTGCCTCCGATGCGAACCACTGATAACGCATCCACATCCGCCGCGACGCAGAAGATCGCCACGACTGCTGCGAAGAGGACGAAGAATGGCGATGTGCGGCGCTCCATTCGATTGGTAACGAAAACGTTTTTTTGCCAAAGAGCTTTGAAACTCGGTGGAGAGGATCAAACGAGACAAACGAAAATCACGAGGAAGATTTCTACCACAAGCGACGAAAGTTCTAAGGCGAGAAAAGAAGAAGTGATTACGCGGGTATCTTTACAGAACGGAGAATTGCTTACAGGGAAGGCGAAGGTCCACTATACTCGTACATCGAAATGCCAACCTCTTATATACTGGCATTATGCCTCAAATGAGAGCCTGTCAGTGGGAGGCGGGGGCTGAGTTGAATGTGAAGCACCTGCGGGAAGAGAAGGGGCAGGATGGTAATGTCAAACATAATATTGTATATTCCTGTAGACTATATAGGGTTGTGCCTTAGAGAGTACAACCTTTTAGGTTATATTCCCTTGTATGCCTTGTTCTATACATTCTTTCACATGAACAGGTAAGAACATTAGGAACGCGAGGCACCCCGTGGAAGCATTAAACCGAATAATGAGGCAGAAAACCGTTCTCCACCATGTCAAAATGCCTAGGAAGTATTCGCAAGAGCGAGATGTTGACCTTCGCATCGCGGATTGGGTTTCAATGCCTGCATTATTGCCATCGCCGAGCCCTGCAGAGCGACAAATAGCGCATTGTTGGACTACTACGAGCGAGGAGCGCTACCCTGCTCCACCCAATCACTGTGTGATATTCGAGCTGAATAGAAGTATGCGAGCGTGTGCGTGTAAATTATATGTTTTGTTATATAATTGGTAGGCTTGATAGGTGTTACTAAAACCTACTATAGAGGGTACAATCCCTCTCCTTGTATGCCTCTCTCTTCTATTCTCGAACTTTTTTTTTCTCTCCTCAACTTTCCTAGCCTAAAACCTCACGCCATTTCTATGGCTTCTCTCCTACCTAGATCCTAGCATACTTTAACATGGTATCAAAGTAGGTCGCCCTTCCCGGGCCTGCTCCCTACGCTTCCACCGCGCACTCCTCCTCTCCTTCTCGCGCTGCCATGGCGGCCGCATCGTGCTACTGTGGCGGCGTCGTCGTGCCGCGGCCGTCTCGACACGCTGCCGTGGCGTCGCGCTGTCGTGGCGTCGACGTCCAGCCGTGGCGACGTGACGGCGTCTTCGTGCTGCCGTTGCAGCAACGACGTCCCGCCATGGCATCGACGCCGCACTGTGGCGGCGTCGTAGTGTTGCGGTGGCGGTGCCGTTGGGCGGCAGCCGGCCGCGCAACGCCTGTGGCGCCGCTAGACCTACCGCCCGCTCGCCTGCCACGGGCGTGATTCTGGACCACGCCCCGCCCCCCCCCAACCCCTCCTTCCCCTGCGTCCCCTCTTCCTTGCCACAGCCGTCGACTGCCTCGTGAGGGCCTTCCCATAGCCGTTATGAGATTGGTCATGCCGCCGAGAGGGCGGGGGCCGCTGCAGCTGCCTCTGACGTTGAAGCCGCCGCCACCGCTGTTGCCGCTGGCTAGTTGCTGCCGCACACCATCGCCGTCGCTCTCGTCACTGCTGTGCCTGCTGCCATTGCCATCTCCCGGGCCATGGATATTCCAGAGTCATCGCGGGTGCTGCTGGAAATGGGGGTGGTAGGTTAGGGGTGTTAAATTATATCTTATATATAATTGTAGGCCTGGTAGATATTATTGGAACCTACTGTAGAGGGTACAACTCCCTCCTTTTATCCCTCTCTCTTCTAATCTCAAACGCTTTTTCTCTCGACGTTTTCTCATAGCCAAACCCTCATGCCACTTCCATGGCTTCTCCTCCTACCTAGCTCTTTAACATGGTTTTAGAGCCGGAGGTCCGCCCTGCTGGGTTACTCCTCACGCTTCCGCCGCGTACCCCTCTTCTTATAGTTAATTTCGCGCCGCCGTGGCGGCCGTGTCGTGCTGCCATGGTGGCTTTGTCGTGCTGCCGTGGCAGCCTCGTTGCGGCTGTCGCGACGCGTTGCCGTGGCATCGCGCCGTCGTGGCGGCATCGTCGACGTCGAGCCGTGGCGGCGTGATGGCATTGTCGACATCAGCGCACGGGTGGCAGTGGGCCACGCACTGGTTTAGGCACTAGGCAGCAAGCCCGCACTCCAGCTCGCCGCGCCTCCTCAGTTCGTCGTGTCGGACCCTGTTCGTCGCGTCGGACCCAGCTCGCTGCGTCGGCCCCAGCTTGCAACGCCAGCTGGCTCCGCCCCGCCGCAACTCAAGGATGCCTAGCGCCTTCCTTCCCTGCAATCACCTCTGCTGCAGGGTATGGGGGTACTAGGCTTAGAGGTGTTGCATGTGGGGGTGGGCTTGTGACTACCAAGCCTAGGGGGTGTGTTAAATTATATCTTATATATAATTGTAGGCTTGGTATGTCGTGAAGGTAGGATAGCTAGGATGCCATGACTATGGCGGCGGGGTTTAGCTAGGAGGAAGGCGAGGAGAATGTCGAGAGAAAAGGTGAATCAACTAGAAGAGAAACAGGTACAAGAAGGGGAGTTATCCCCTCTACAGTAGGATGCAGTAGTACAACTACCAAGCCTATAATTATATAAAATATAATTTGAACACACCCCCTAGGCTTGGTAGTGGCAAGCCCACTCAACCCACACACACACCCCCTAACCCCGGACCCCCTCATTCTCGTGAGCAGCCGGGTATCGACCCCTCATGCTAGGCGATGACACCCCCGGACGAGAGACAGCTGGCCGCATCTGGACGGCCTCAATGACGACAGCAGCGGAGCTCGTGCTCAAGGCGTCTGCGGTGATGAGGACAGGCGGCGACTGCGACGGCTGAGGGCTCTCGACGGTGTGGCATGACCTGGCGATGACCGAGCCGAAGACAGCAGCTGCGGCAGGAGGGAGAGGGGACGCAAGGAGAAGGGGTGGTGTAGAGGAGAGGGCGCTGGCTGGCGTGTGGGCGGCGGCAGCGTCACCGACGTCGCACGGTCGGCTGCAGCCCGACGGTGCCGTCAACGAGCCGCGTCGATGCTGCACGACGTGACGTCGATGCGGCATGACGTTGACGCCGCGACGTTCGTACGGCGGCGCTGTCACGCCGCGACGGCCCGACGTCGACGGCGTCGCCACCATGAGGCCGCCGCGGCATCTCAGAGAAGGTGCCACGGCGGCAAGCAATCTGAAGGTTGCGAAGGCGGCGAAGTAACATAGAATACGCAGCAGAAGAGTAGTGAGCAGGCCCGGGACGGGCGGCCTGCTCTGATACCATGTCGTGAAGGTAGGATAGCTAGGACTCCACGACTATGGCGGCGGGGTTTAGCTAGGAGGAAGGCGAGGAGAATGTCGAGAGAAAATGTGAATGAACTAGAAGAGAAACAGGTACAAGAAGGGGAGTTATCCCCTCTACAGTAGGATGCAGTAGCATAACTACCAAGCCTATAATTATATAAAATATAATTTGAACATGGTAGGTATTACTGGAACCTACTGTAGAGGGTACAACTCCCTCCTTGTATCCTTCTCTTATAATCTCAAACGCTTTTTCTCTCGACATTTTCTCCTAGCCAAACCCTCATGCCACTTCCATGGCTCCTCCTACCTAGCTCTTTAACAATGAGGTATGGGTGTGTGTGGGTTCTTCTACTACCAAGCCTAGGGGGTGTGTTAAATTATATATTTTGTTATATAATTGGTAGGCTTGGTAGGTGTTACTAAAACTTAATGTGGAGGGTACAACCCCCCTCCTTGCATGCCTCTCTTCTATTCTCGAACTTTTTTTTTTCTCCTCAACTTTCCTAGCCTAAAACCTCTCGCCATTTCTATGGCTTCCCTCCTACCTAGATGCTAGCTTACTTTAACAGTGCTACCCGTACCCAGTATCATTCAGAGCTGTGCGAGTCAGTGACAGGTCATGAAAGCAATCCGCACACACTGCAGGAAACTGGGAACAGTGAGGGGGTTGTAGGGGGCTTATTAGGGTGGCATTTACACATCCTACAACTAAGTGCTATGCATTCCATTCCATAACATGCATATTGCACTCGTCAACAAGGACATGGAGCGATATCGCATCCCACGCGGTAATGGATGGCGTTTTGAATGGGGATTTAAGTGTAGTCTCCTGAATTACTGTAGGTTGTATGTTATGTCCTCCTAAGAGTTTCACAAGCTGTGTATTACTGTACCAGCTTTGCCAAGTTGTCTCTTTCCTCACAGCCAGGCCTAGTGTCATCAGAACGACTTAGTGGCAGCCATAGTCGTCGCTTTCTCTGCTCCCACCCAGCTCTGCGCTTGCCGCCGCCTCACGCCATTCCATATCGCTCCATTCCCACCGCTCTTCCGCCAATCACGCGCGCGAACCCTCACTATCTGTGCCCACGTCGCCGAATCCGATCTCACATCTTCCGCACTTAGCTAAGCGCCAGGATGAGCGGCAAGGCGGCGGTGCAGCGGGCGTTCAAGGCGATCGACTGGGAGAAGCTGGCGCGCGTGGTGGTGAGCGAGGAGGGCAAACGCGAGATGGCGGCGCTCAAGCGCGCGCACGACGAGGTGTCGCACACCTTAAACACCAAGTTCAACGAGGTCCGGTTCTACAAACCATACGTTATTGGTAGGATCTCAGCTGTGATCAGCAACCATTGATGGCCTTAATTCGAGTCGGAAGCGCGCGCATGACGAGGTGTCGCACACCTTAAACACCAAGGTCAACGAGGTCCGGTTTTACACTGTACCATATCGATAGGATCTCAGCTGTAATCAGCTACGAGTAGATGGGAGTCGAGACTGAAGCGCGCGCACGACGAGGTGTTGCACACCTTAAACACCTTTTTTTCACCAGGTCAGCCTTCCAAACCATCAACAATATCCGCTCCCGTATCGTATCGTATCGTGCGTAGGCGATATCGAGTAGAATCGGCTCGTGAGGTGACTTCGAAAGACGTGCCGAGGTCTCTCACACCTTAAATACCAAGTTCAACGAGGTCCGGATCCCCCGTTATATCCGCTCAGCTCCAAGATCGCTGACTAAGGATTGCCTGAAGTCAGATCTCGTCTTCGTCCCGCGACGCTGGGGCTTCAGGCAACCTGCTGCCGAGATTAGCCTTCGCCTCAAGTCTGCTGATAGCTGAATGCGCGTAACCCTAATCTCTGCAACCTGCGGGTAACCCGTCGTCAGCGTCGTGTACCCCTCGTGAAATCTCTGTAACCCTAAGCGACGGTGTTAGCTCAGCTCATCCTTCTCCGGCAGAGCATTGTAACCAGGTGCCTGTACCCTCCCGAGCGTCCTCATTTCCGGCTTCCGAATCTCTGCTCATTCTGTTTCCTCCTCCTATCCCCCCATGCCAGCTGTTTGCTTCCATGTTACCTCCCGGAAAACTCGCTGGCGATCTGTGAGCCAGCCCAAGAAAGGCGTACCGGTCCTGCACCCTCACCCCCTCCCCTCCTTTCCACCCCTTTCCTTCACTTCCTTCCGCTGCCTGGTTCCTCCCCTCCTCACCCCTCCCCCTCACTCACAAGCAGAAAGTGGTGGGCATTGACTGGGAGATGTAACGCCCCAAGCTCAACCGCACAATCTTGGCATCTGAGTCGACTCTAGAGTCATCCCTGCCTTGTCTGCCCCTCTTCTCACTGCTCTTCCCACTGCCACCGTGCATGCAACTGCCCTCCCCCCCCCCCTTGCTCCCAAGCAGAAAGTGGTGGAGATCGACTGGGCGCTGTACCGCTCCAAACTCCACCCCAAGATCGTGGCATCTGAGTCGACTCTAGAGTCAACCCTGCCTTGTCTGCCCCTCTTCTCATTGCCGCCTCGCATGCAACTGCCCTCCCCCCCTCCCTCACAAGCAGAAGGTGGTGGAGATCGACTGGGCGCTGTACCGCTCCAAGCTCAACCCCAAGATCGTCGACATGTTCGAGCAGTCGTACAAGAGTGAGTCCTGAGCCACTCGCATGCTCCTGATCCGGCAGGATGGATTTGTTAAGTGCTTGAGAGCAGCAATGGGCTAGAGAGGGGTAGAGGTGGAATGGCCAGAGCAGGGGGGAGGCGGATGGCTGGCGTAGACAATGGGATGGCAAGGACAGAGAGGGGAATGGATTGCCCTGCTGTCCAATATCCCTGTGCAAATGCAGCTTTGTCTTTCACGCAATTCGTTTCTGTGAGTTCAGTGTTTTTCTCTCACTTCATCTCTCCAACCTCCCCCCCCCACCCCTTCCTCTCTCTCTCTCTCTCTCTCTCTCTCTCTCTCTCTCTCTCTCTCTCTCGCTCTGCTGCGGCCATGCAGGCATTGAGATCCCGGACTACGTCGATACGCTCACCCCCGAGTTTGAGAAGGAGCATCAGCAGCTGGTGAGCATGCCACCCTGCCCCTCGCTCTGCTATTGCACACCCTCATCCACCCCATAACGTTTTCCACACTTGTGTGTGTGCTGTGGTGTCCTCTCTTTCATATGTATTGGGCGCTGCCCGCCCTGACCTCTGTTGGGCTTGTCGTGTGCCGGTGTGCCATGCGTGGGTGTGTGCCTGTGCCTGTGGCCCCTGTCTCAGGTGGCCAAAGCAGCGGAGGAGGAGGAGACATCAAAGCGTGAGGCAGCCCGCCTTAAAGCCGAGATAGAGAAGATCCGTGCACAGAAGGTGTGTCTGCATGCTCCCTGTCTCTCGTATTCTTCCTGCCCCTCTCCTCCAAATTCTCATCGCTCTGTCCTGATGGATTTTGGCTGCGTCCGCACGTTGCTCTCCCTTCGTCCACGTGCCTTGCATCTCTCATGTGTGTCTTGGCTTCGTATGCAACCATATGCCGTATGTTGTTTGAGTCGCAGGATGCACTAAAGACCATGACAGTGGACGAATATTTGGCCAAGAACCCGAAGCTCAAGGAGAAGTTCGATGAGGAGATCCGCAACCACAACTGGGGCTATGGAGCGAACCAGTAGTGTTGTCGAAGGATGGGGGGCAACGACACCAGATCCGCATGGATGGGCGTGTATGAGTAATTCTTTCAAGTTTTTTGTGTACGCAAATTCTTAGTATTACCAAAATCACAAGCTCTTCAAACTTCCTTGTTTCATTAAATATATGATGCATCTATGTGGATAATCCTTGTAACGTTTCGATAATCACTCTCATTTTCCTCGCAGCTAAGCCAATCCCCATATCGCTCCCATCAGCCAGCGCAGCTCCCTCCATCCATTTCCGAGGGATGAAAACCATTCCGCCAATCCAACTCCAAGGCTCGCGCGCGTCTCCCCATGGCGGATCCACGCAGGTTAGTTGCAGTCGCGATTGCATCATTGCAACACTCCTTTGCTTGCAACCGAGATCCATCGGTCACTGACAGTCTCTGAATTCTCTCAACAGAAGCTTGAGCCGCTTAGCTTCGTCGGGAGGGATAGCAGGCTCCGATGCTCGCGTATCTGGTTCTCCTGCGAAGCTACAGGGTTCGTTCGTCGGACAACTTTAATTAGGTCACCCAGTATTCCTGACGTCTTTATTTTTACTTCAGGCGCAGGACATGCGGTTGCGGGAAGCTAGGCCTTGACTTCCCTCCGACCAAGAGAGATTATGCTCGTGATAGGTCTTCAATTCGCTAGTTGGCCTCGTTGCTCCTTATGGCGTGCCTGCTAGCCTCCTCGTACAAGCACATTCCCCACCTTGTACATTCCTCGCTCGTTACAAGCACGTTCGTTTCAAAACCCTCCAGCGCTCCTCATGGAAGGCCGTGGCCTCGCGCACTCCGGGAAAATTCGTCTCTTAACGCGTATAGAAGGCCGCCGTATGTCGGAGCACGCCTTACCAACGCGTCTAGCTCGCCGAGGCACAAGCAGCAAGGGAGCGGAATTCGTGTACGAATCTCGCGTTCGCGACAGTCACACGGTCGGTCCGCCAGTCAGACTAGTGCAGCAACAGCACCAGCAGCAGCAGGAGCAGCAGCAACGTCGACAGCCTTGTCGATTCATCCTACGACCGCTTCGCTCGTAGCTGTTCTCGCAGTCACCCTGGCAGCATCGTTGAAAGCAGCATGGTCTGAAGCACTTTCCGCGTCTTCGCGTGCTGCTGTTGCCTCGGGATTCTCGAGATTTCCGCGTGCAGTAAATCACAGGAAGAAATCACCGTACAGGTTGCGGCTCTCCAAGTCGTTTCAGGCCGTCAGATTTGTCGAGATCCATCCGCACCGTCCGATCAGGATCTCTAGATTCGTGAATCCATCGTCCCGCGGGTCCATCTCCAGGAAACGGAGCAGCAGAAGTGATCGAGCAGATAGAATAGCCGTTGAAAAGCCGCCTTCTGAAACCCTAGATTCGAGTGCTCGTACGTGGAAACGCTCATATTCGACCATCCGTCGACGTGAAGCCCTGGATTCGAGAATAGGTAGATGGAAAGTTCTAGACTCGAGTGCAGGTAGACGGAGAACGTCCACAGATAGCCTCAGGGGATGGCGACTGGATGGGCATGGATTACCCAAGAAGGCACTACCAGCACGCAGCTTAGTAACAGAATCAGCCGCAGATTCGCTACCAGCAGGATTAACTGCGCACCGAGTACCAGCACAGTCACAGTCTGTCGCACACCTGTTACCAGCAGAAGCAAGCTCAGCATCCCCCACCGCTGCCCCTTCTGCTGCTTGTGCCGCCTTGTCGTCTAGGTATCCCCGTGCAAACTCGCTCCATCGGACTTCTTTTAACAGAACCTGCTTATATCGAAGCTCCCTGTACGGCCAGAGACAGGGGCCCGTAGGTCGTTCTCTGGGCTTCCCAGTGGGTAGGAGCAGGCGAAGATTGCGCTCGCCAGTGCGTGCCTCTGCTGCTGCTGCTGGCGCAGCAGGCGCAGCAGCGGCAGCAGGAGCAGCGGGAGCAGCAGGAGCAGCGGGAGCAGCGGGAGCAGCGGGAGCAGCGGGAGCAGCGGGAGCAGCGGGAGCAGCGGGAGCAGCGGGAGCAGCGGGAGCAGCGGGAGCAGGAACAGGAGCGGCAGGAGCAGCAGCAGGAGCGGCAGGAGCAGCAGCAGGGGCCATTCCGTTCTTTCTCAAATTCCCCATTCCAAATCCCTTCCACCAGATGCCTCCTCTATCCGACATCTTCACCAAGCTCCTAAAGAAAGCCATGGCGGCAGGAAAGGTGCCCCTAGACTGGCTGCACCACCCGCTATCCCCCGTGCTGCCCGCGCTCGTGATTATAGCGGGGGCCATCTGGCTGCTGGGGCCGCTGGTGCGGCTGGGCAGGAAGGTGATTAAAAAGAGCGACGCCAACTGGGAGGAGTCCCGCTCTCGCCACGTGATGGTGTCTTATCTGCGCCCGCTCATCCTCTGGGGCTGCGTGCTCGTGCTCTGTGGGTGAGTTGGCTGATCCGGTGCAGCTGTGCCCTCATGCTGGGTGGTGTGTGCTGTGTGTGTGTTTCCTGTCTACTGTCTCGCCACGTGATGGTGTCTTATCTGCGCCCGCTCAACCTCTGGGGCTGCGTGCTCGTGCTGTGTGGGTGAGTGGCATCTCTGTACGCTTCTTTTCATGCCTGCTTCGTTTCGTCTCATAACACAAGGTAACATCGCCCCCAACAGCCACCCGCTTTGCTCTCATACCTCCAGACATCCTCTCTCCCTCCCTCTCCCACCCCTTCCCCTTTTCTCCCTTCGTCCCCCCCTTCGCCCCTCCCACCCGCTCGCACACTTCTCCCCGTGCACGTGTTTCCAGCCGTTAGCCATGCCCACTGAGGCCGGGCATCTCATCAAGGACCGCTTTGTCAACTTGCCACCTGCGCTCTTGGTCTCATCTCTCTAGACTTCCTCTCTTCCTCCCCCCCACCCCTCCCCCCCCTCCCCTCTCCCCGTGCAGCTGCTTCCAGCCGTTCGCCATGCCCACGGAGGCGGGTCAGCTCATCAAGGACCGCTTTGTCAACTTCCTGCGCTCGCTCTCCACCGTGCTCGTCTTCGCCTTCTGCACCGCCAAGTGAGACATGTTTCATGTTCCATGTGACAATTGAGTACCCCGTGCTGCTGATTGAACTGCTGAGTGGGTGCTGCTTTCGACCGTTTCAAGTGAGCCGTTCCTCTCCATCCACTGCGCTCGCTCTCCACCGTGCTCGTCTTCGCCTTCTGCACCGCCAAGTGAGTGCCGCTTTCCACTCGCCACCAGATGCTTCATCAGTTGGTTCGTCATTTACTTGTTCAATCCTCCACCTACTGTTGCATCCCTTGCTTCCTCGCACCTTTCACGTCTCAATCCCCCCTTTCCCCTTCTCCCTCACTCCCCCTGTCACAGCCTCACGCGCCAGATTCAGAAGATGATGGAGAAGCAGAGCAACAAGGAGGAGACCCGAAATGTGAGTGAGCCAGCCGCCCGCCCTTCCTTGTGAGCCTCGCCTCACACCCCATCTCCCATATGCTAACAGATTTTTGAGTCGACTCAGAAAACACCTTGTGAGCCTCGCCTCACACCCCATCTCCCATATGCTAACAGTAGGCGCCACGCCCCCCTCTCTATGTTAGTCCGCATACACCCGTTGTCTGCATACACCCCTTGTACCTTTTGTTCAAATCGCCTACTGCTTTCGTGGGCGACACAGTGTACACGCTCGTGTGGGTGGCTCACTGCGTTACGCCTCTCTCAAGCTTCCCTTCTTCCCATTGCGCCTGCCGCTTTTCGAGGCGCCTCAAAAATCCTCTCTCAAGCTTCCCTTCTTCCCATTGCGCCTGCCGTTTTTCCCCTTCCCTTCTCTCAGGTTGGCGTGCAGTTTGTGGGCAACACGGTGTACATGCTCGCGTGGGTGGTAGGAGTGGCTTAGGCATATGCGCGTTACCAATCCTCCCTGTACGCGTTACCAATCCTCCCCGTAACAGGTGGGGGTGCAGTTCGTGGGCAACACGGCGTGCACGTTCGTGTGGGTGGCGAGAGGGATGTGAGGGATGTGAGGCAGCTTACACTATGTATGGGCTACTTCCCCTTTCCCCTGCCCTTCTCTCAGGTGGGGGTGCAGTTCGTGGGCAACACGGTGTACACGCTCGTGTGGGTGGCGGCGGTCTTTCTATTCATGGAGCTGCTGGGCTTCTCCACTCAGAAGTGGATCACTGCTGGCGGGCTGGGGACCGTGGTGGTGACGCTCGCTGCAAGAGAGGTGAGTGTTGGGGTTACTATCCACGTGCGTCGTACACTTTCCACGTGCCTCGCACTTTCCAGATGTGTTAGTCGGCCCTTCATATGAGTTGAATTGGTTTTTTAGAATTCTCAAAAACCAACTCAGCCCTTCATTGCCTACCTCGCATCCTCTCTCCCTCAGACCACCTTTCCGCATCCTCCCTCCCCATCCATCCCCCCATCGGATCGTCTTTCTCGTTCATCGTGAGTCATGCCACCCGCAACATAGCTTCTCGCTCGCTTTACTTGCTCCGCCCTTCTATCCGCCCATCAGATCATGGCCAACTAGACGCACTAGGTCTCCTCACCTCACTCCCTCACTGCTTTCCTCCCTCTGCACGCTCCTCCCCTCCCCCTCCCCCACCCCACCCCGGCAATCCCCCACCGCAATCTCCTGTCGCACCCACCCCCACCCCCATCCTACCCATCAGATTGTGACCAACTTCCTCTCCTCCATCATGATCCATGCCGCCCGGACGTGGTCCTACTTCTCACGTGTCTCCCTGCGCTCTCTTCCTCCCCCTCCCCGTCCGCATGCTCTAAACTACCCATCAGATCGGGACCAGCTTCCTTTACCGAAGGCCTCTCCCGCCTCGCCCCCTCTCCCCCATCCCCCCTCCGCGCCCCATACCGTCCCCCTTCAGATTGTGACCAACTTCCTCTCCTCCATCATGATCCATGCCGCCCGCCCCTTCATGGTCAACGAGTGGATCGTGTGCCGCATCGACGGCCAGGAGATATCCGGCACCGTGGAGGTAAGCTGTGAGGGTGTGCTGGGAGGGTGTGCTGGGAGGGTGTGCTGGGAGAGTGTGCTGGGAGGGAGGTGTATCGGGTACAGGGCCTCACGTCCCATGCTCGCTTTCGGTGAACGAGCGGATTGTGTGCCGCATCGACGGCCAGGAGATATTTGTGACCGTTGGTACTTGTTGTGTGGGGAATAGGCTGTGTTGGGGTATGGTGTGCCGGTTTGTGTGGGGGGGGTACGCTGTAGCGGTGCACTGTGGAGGTAGGGAGCTCTTTGTACTCATCCTCCGCCATCCTCCCCTCCCTCCCCCCCCCCCGCCTCTCCCTCTTCTCACCTCCTAATCGATCAAGTTCTTTTCCTGCCCGTCGATCCACTGCTTCCTGCAGCACGTAGGGTGGTGGGAGCCGACTCTAGTGAGGGGCGACGATAGGGAGGCGATCCACATCCCGAACCACAAGTTCAGCGTCATTGTGATTCGCAACATGAGCACGCGCAACCACTGGCGCATCAAGATCTACTTTGGCGTCTGCCACCTCGACATCAACAAGATGCCTGTAAGCCCCTCACATCCCACAAGCATATCCCACAACCCCCCATCCCTTCCCGCCTGGCTGCTCCTCTCGTACTCCTCGGACCCCTGAGCTGACTCACACGCAACCACTGGCGCATCGAGTCCTACTTTGGCGTCTGCCACCTCGACGTCAACAAGATGCCTGTAAGCCCCTCACATCCCACAAGCATATCCCACAACCCCCCGTCCCTTCCCGCCTGGCTGCTCCTCTCGTGCTCCTCTTGGTGGCCATGCGCAAGTGCATCAGCAAGCACCCCATGCTGGAGCAGCGCCACCTACACCACCCCTCCCTGTGTTTACTGTGAGAAAACGTGAACTTAGGAAGTTTACTTCTCCTGGTCCAATCTCTTAACCTGCACTGCACCTGCCCGTGCCTCTCTACACACTCATCCCTCCTCTCTCGCCTTTATCAGGACATCCTGGTGGCGATGCACAAGTTCATTGGCAAGCAACCCATGCTGGAGCAACGCCACCTGCACCACCACTGCTGCATGTCCATAAACCCTACTCCCTTTCGCTTCCTTCCGTGCATGTACCACATCTCTCCCCATCATCAGGACATCCTGGTGGCCATGCGCAAGTTCATTGGCAAGCACCCCATGCTGGAGCAGCGCCACCTGCACCGGCGTGTGTTCGTGGAGCGAATCGACGAGCAGCTTCAAGCCATCATGGTGAGATGAGAGGGGGAGGGTGAAAGCCATCAGGGGTGCGATGAGAGGGGGAGGGTGAAAGCCATCAGGGGTGCGATGAGGGGGAGGGTGAAAGCCATCAGGGGTGCGATGAGAGGGGGAGGGTGAAAGCCATCAGGGGTGCGATGAGAGGGGGAGGGTGAAAGCCATCAGGGGTGCGATGAGAGGGGGAGGGTGAAAGCCATCAGGGGTGCGATGAGAGGGGGAGGGTGAAAGCCATCAGGGGTGCAATGAGAGGGGGAGGGTGAAAGCCATCAGGGGTGCGATGAGAGGGGGAGGGTGAAAGCCATCAGGGGTGCAATGAGAGGGGGAGGGTGAAAGCCATCAGGGGTGCAATGAGAGGGGGAGGGTGAAAGCCATCAGGGGTGCGATGAGAGGGGGAGGGTGAAAGCCATCAGGGGTGCGATGAGAGGGGGAGGGTGAAAGCCATCAGGGGTGCGATGAGAGGGGGAGGGTGAAAGCCATCAGGGGTGCCATGAGAGGGGGAGGGTGAAAGCCATCAGGGGTGCGATGAGAGGGGGAGGGTGAAAGCCATCAGGGGTGCGATGAGAGGGGGAGGGTGAAAGCCATCAGGGGTGCAATGAGAGGGGGAGGGTGAAAGCCATCAGGGGTGCGATGAGAGGGGGAGGGTGAAAGCCATCAGGGGTGCAATGAGAGGGGGAGGGTGAAAGCCATCAGGGGTGCGATGAGAGGGGGAGGGTGAAAGCCATCAGGGGTGCAATGAGAGGGGGAGGGTGAAAGCCATCAGGGGTGCAATGAGAGGGGGAGGGTGAAAGCCATCAGGGGTGCGATGAGAGGGGGAGGGTGAAAGCCATCAGGGGTGCGATGAGAGGGGGAGGGTGAAAGCCATCAGGGGTGCGATGAGAGGGGGAGGGTGAAAGCCATCAGGGGTGCGATGAGAGGGGGAGGGTGAAAGCCATCAGGGGTGCGATGAGAGGGGGAGGGTGAAAGCCATCAGGGGTGCGATGAGAGGGGGAGGGTGAAAGCCATCAGGGGTGCGATGAGAGGGGGAGGGTGAAAGCCATCAGGGGTGCGATGAGAGGGGGAGGGTGAAAGCCATCAGGGGTGCGATGAGAGGGGGAGGGTGAAAGCCATCAGGGGTGCGATGAGAGGGGGAGGGTGAAAGCCATCAGGGGTGCGATGAGAGGGGGAGGGTGAAAGCCATCAGGGGTGCAATGAGAGGGGGAGGGTGAAAGCCATCAGGGGTGCGATGAGAGGGGGAGGGTGAAAGCCATCAGGGGTGCGATGAGAGGGGGAGGGTGAAAGCCATCAGGGGTGCGATAGGGACATGAAGGTCATTGTTGGTGTCATCACCTGCATGAACGGAGATTAGTGTCAGCGAGCAGAGAAGAGGCACCTGCACCGTCGCGAGTTTGCGGGGAGAAGAGACAAGCAGCTGCAAGCCACTGTGAGATACGGACATGCAAGTCAATGTTAGTGTCATTATTGCCAGGGAGACGCGCTACCTGCACCGGCGCGTGTTTGTGAAGAGGATTCACGAGCAGCTGCGTGCGATTATGGGGAGAGGGGACACGTGGGCCACCATGGCAGGTTCAGATAAGCATGCGATGATCAATTATGGTGCGATGCATGCAACAACTGTGGGTGCAGCAACACCACCAGTGCCCGTGGCGTTGTCACGTGCACACCAGATTGTTCTGTCACTCGCCACTGTTTCTTACTAGGATGCAACCACACTGCAACCATGCCCCCTTACCATGCAACCATGCTCCCTTACCATGCAACCATGCCCCCTTACCATGCAACCATGCCCCCTTACCATGCAACCATGCCCCCTTACCATGCAACCATGCCCCCTTACCATGCAACCATGCTCCCTTACCATGCAACCAGGCCGCCTAGGATGCCATCTGCATTCGTTTGCATCCCTTTGCATCATCGTCCTAACCACCGTGTGCCCTCCACCCCCGTGCGCCCCTCTGCACCGCTCTGTGTGCAGATCATGTGCTCCACCTTCGTGAAGACGCCATACTTTGAGGAGTATCTGCGAGTCAAGGTGAGAATGGGGTGCCAGACGCAAGTGAGTGCAGGTGAGGTGAGGACGAGTGTGCGGGTGCGTCGGGCTGGAAGGCTCCGGCTCTGTCAAGCCGCCATACTGTGAGGAGTGAAGGTCAGAACGGAACTTCAGGTGGGGGTTTCGGGTTTGCGAGTCAGTGCAGGTGTGCTGTGCAAGACAATGCAGGTGTGCAAGTCAATGCAGGTGTGCTGTGCAAGTCAATGCAGGTGTGCAAGTCAATGCAGGTGTGCAAGTCAATGCAGGTGTGCAAGTCAGTGCAGGTGTGCTAGCCAGTGCATCTGTGCTAGTCAGTGCAGGTTTACAAGCTGGTAGCGAGCCGGGATCGAGTACCCTCGAGCGAAGGTTGTGCCTCCATTATCATCCTAGAACGAGGCCCTGACCGCCATAATGGGGCGCTGACTGCCAGAAAGGGACTCTGGCCGCCAGAATGGAGCTCTGATCACCAGAATGGGAATTCTGACCGCCAGAATGGGGGCACTGACCGCCAGACTGGGGCGCTGACAGCCAGAATGGGGCTCAGACCGCCAGAATGGGGGCTCTGACCACCAGAATGCAGCTCTGGCCGCCAGAATGGGGCTCTGTCCGCCAGAGTAGGGCCTCTGACCACCAGAATGGGTGCTCTGACCGCCAGAATAGACATGGGCAACATGCCGAGCCATGCTCGGCTCGACCCGGCTTGAATCGCCTTTTAAGCGAGTCGAGCGGGGTTTTTTTTTTTGCCGGCTCTCCCCGAGTCGAGCCGGTCGAGCCGTGCGGCTCAGCTCGGTTCGTCGGAAATTTTTGGGCGACTCGGCAGTCGAGCCGAAGTCGCACGGCTCGCCCCCCCCTGGAAATCGAAAAAACCATTTCTGGTTTTCGATTTCCGGCAACTCTGAGCGCTGCCTACGCCCACCACGCCATCCTAGCATGCCTAAGCCCCATTAATCTCACTCCATAAGTTCAGTCAGACATTAACTAGATTGTTTTAGGTTATTAGGGTTTAAGAAATTACATTTTTAGGGTACACCAGCAATGCCGATTTCTGTTTAGGACCTAGATTTTATAGGTCCGCCAAACCAAACACCCACCTTCTGCTCTAGTCAAGAACGCTAACCATCACAACACTCCCCCCCTGTTGAGTCGAGCCGAGCCGAGCCAAAGTCTAGCCGGCCCTTGGCTCGACCCTCAAACCCCGAATCGAGCCAGCCATTTCGGGCATCCGGCTTGAGTCGAGTCGAGCCGGCTCGGCTCGACTTTTACTTGGCTCGTGGTCGAGTCGAGCCGAGCCGAGCCAGGCTCGGCATGCTGCCCATGTCTACGCCAGAATGGGGTTCTGACCGACAGAATGGGGCTCTGACCACCAGAAAAGGGGCTGTGACCGCCGGAATGGGGTTTCTGGCCGCCAGAATGGGGCTCTGACCGACAGAAAGGGGGCTCTGACCGCCACAATGGGGGCTCTGACCGCCACAATGGGGCTCTCACCGCCTGAATAGGGGCTCTGACCGCCAAAAAGGGTGCTCCGACTGCCAGAATGGGGTTTATGGCCGTCAGAATGGGGCTCTGACCGCCAGAATGGGAGCCCTGACTGCCAGAATGGGGCTCTGACCGGCAGAATGGGGCTCTCACCGCCAGAATGACCACCAGAATACGGGCTCTGACCACCAAAAAGGGGGCTCTGACCGCCAGAATGGGGTTTCTGGCCGCCAGAATGGGGCTCTGACTGCCAGAATGGGACTCTGACTGTCAGAATGGGACTCCGACTGCCAGAATGGGGCTCTGACCGCCAGAATGGGGCTCTGACCGCCAGAATGGGGGCTCTGACCGCCAGAATGGGGCTTTGACCGCCAGAATGAGGGTTCTGACAGCCAGAACAGGAATTTTGACCTCCAGAATGGGGCTCTGACCACCAGAATGGGGCTCTGACCGCCAGAATGGGGGCTCTGACCGCCAGAATGAGGGTTCTGACCGCCAGAACAGGAATTCTGATCGCCAGAATGGGGCTCTGACCACCAGAATGGGGGCTCTGACCGGGTGAGTGGGTGAGTGGGTGAGCGGGTGAGCGGGTGAGCGGGTGAGCGGGTGAGCGGGTGAGCGGGTGAGCGGGTGAGCGGGTGAGCGGGTGAGCAGGTGAGCGGGGGAGCGGGGGACCGGGTGACCGGGTGAGCGGGTGACCTGGCTGGTGAGGAGGACGAGTTCGAGGAGGAGGTTGAGTCAGTTAGTTCCAAGGCGTCCCTTCAATCCCCTCGTGGTTCCTTGCTTTCTCCCTTCTACCCCTCTGCACCTTTCCCTCATCTCCCAGCAGAGCGTGCTCCTCGAGATGTACAAGGTCATTCTGGACCACAGGGCTCGCCTCGCCACGCCCATCCTTGCACTCCCTTCAACTCTCCCATATTTCCCCATGTCTCTCCGCCTCTCAGCTCCCAAGAGAGCGTGGTCCTCGAGATGCACAACATCCTCCTGGACCACAGGGCTCGCCTCGCCACGCCCATCCCTTGCACTCGCTTCAACTCTCCCATATTTCCCCGTGTCTCTCCGCCTCTCATCCCCCAGGAGAGCGTGGTCCTTAAGGTGTACAAGATCATCCTGGACCACGGGGCTCGCCTCGCCACGCCTATCCCATCAGCTCTCCCATATTTCTCCGTTTCTCCCCGCCTCTCATCCTCCAGGAGAACGTTGTCCTCGAGATGTACAAGATCATTCTCGATCACGGGGCGCGCCTGGCAACGCCCATCCGGTCGGTGCAGCGGCTGTACGACGACGGCGAGGTGGCGCGGGGGGGTTACAGCGACGAGGAGGAGTTTGAGGAGGACGAGGACGAGGAGGACTATGAGGAGGAGGAGGAGGAGATCAGGCCGCCCGCTCTGCTGGTCGCTGCTGGGCTGGGCGTGGCTGGTGCTGGGTCGGGTGGGGGTGGGGGAGGAGGAGGAGGTGGGGGAGGGGCGGGTGGAGGAAGAGGGGGAGCAGGAGGAGGAGTGGGAGGAGGCGGAGCAGGAGCAGGTGGAGGGGGGATTGGTGGTGCAGCTGGCAGGGCGCCTGAGAACGGGGCGAGAGTAGGGGTAGGGGCGGGGGCAGGAATACCTGTAGGGGCAGGGAGTGGTGCAGGGACGGGTGTGGGGGCAGGTGTTGGGGCAGGTGTTGGGGCAGGTGTTGGGGCAGGTGTTGGGGCAGGTGTTGGGGCAGGTGTTGGGGCAGGTGTTGGGGCAGGTGTTGGGGCAGGTGTTTTGACAACCGCAGGGGCAGGCACATCAGCTTTAGCAGCAGCAGGGGCAGGGCAGGGAGGAGGGGAGGTGAATGGGCATGCGAGCTTGGCAGCGAACGGGGGAGTGACTGTGAGCAGAGGTGTGAGTGTGAATGGTGCGGCAGGAGGAGGGGAGGCAGGCGCTGCTAATGGTGGGCTTCATCACACTCCTGCTGCTGCTGGCGGTAGTGGTGGTAGTGGTGCTCCTGGTGCTGCTCCTGGTGCTGCTAGTGCTGCTGGTGGTGCTGCTGGTGGTGCTGGTGGTGCTGCTGCCAGTGCTGCTGCGCCCATGCATCCTCACATCCCACCTCCTCCTGTTCCGCCGTCCCCTGCTGCTCCTCCCCCTGTCATGCCTCCCCCTATCATGCCTCCCCTTGTCATGCCTTCCCCTGTCATGCCTCCCCCTGTCATGCCTCCCCCTGTCCCTCCTCCCTCTGCCTCGCCTCCTGCAACTGTTTCTACCGCTTCTGCCTCCATGGTGCCTCCACCTTCTCAGCCCCAGCACATGCCTCCCACTCCCCGTGCTCCACCATCTGCACCATCTGCACCATCTGCACCATCTGCACCATCTGCCCCGTCTGCACAATCTGCCCCGTCTGCACCACCCTTCTCTACATCCCCCACACCCTCGGTGCACTCTGCCTCGTTTGCTCCTCCTCCTGCTCCCCCTTCAGCTTCTTCCGCCCCCCCTTCCCCACCCCCACCACTTCCACTCAGGGGAGACCCCCTGGCCCCCCTACCGCCACTTCTCCCTCTGCTCCCCCGTCCTCCTCTCCTCCCTCTTCCTCCTCGCAAAAGCCACCTGCAATGGCCGCTGCTTTCGTCCCTCTGCCCTCTCCTATGGCTCCTCTCCCCCAAGCCCCTCCAACCTTTCCCATCGGCTCCTCCTCCCCTACCACCAGTGCTGGGTCCCCACCCAGGCAAGCAGCAGGCCCGACTCCCAATAGTCCCACACCCACCTCTGCCGCACCTGCTGCAAGGCCCCCTGCTGCCGCACCTCCCAACACCACTCCACCACCTGCCACACCTCTCCCTGCCACTCCTCCTGCTGCTGCTGCCCCCCCCGCTGCGACCAACCGCTCAAGTGCACAGCCCTCTTCCTCTCCTTCTGCTGCTCCGCCCCTGGCTCCTCCCTCTGTCTCCCCTAAGCCTACCGCCCCCACTCCCTCTTCTGCTGCCGCTCCCTCTTCTGCCCCCCCTCCCTCTATAAAGCCTGCTGCTCCCCCGTCTCCCTCCGTCTCACCACCCATGGCGCCCTCCCACCCACCCAGGAGCCAGACCTCCAGCGCCCCCTCCACTGCTGCTAGAGCACCCGCTGTCATTCCCCCCCCTCCTCCCACTGCCACAGCAGCGCCCACGTCTCCTTCCCCCTCCCCGGCAGCTCCACCCACTTCTCCTCCCCCCCCAGCCACAGCTGCACCTGCCTCGCCTTCAGGGCAACCTCCCCAACCCACAAGGCCGCCTCCACCCACAGCGGCACCCATGTCTGCTCCAATCTTCGCACCCATCTCTCCTCCTGCTCCCGCTTCCACATCCGCAGCCCCCAACTCCCCGGGTCAACCCTTTCCAACCACAAATCAGCCGTCTGTGGTGACGGGTGGTGCACCAACAGCAGCAGCGACTGGAGGAGCAACCACAACAGCAGCGGCCACGCCAGGGCTACAGTCAGGGCGCATGGCACAGCCACGAGGAGTAGCAACAGCTGCAGCAGCAGCAGGAGCAGGTGCAGGTGCACCGGCTATAATAGGTTCAGCAGCTACAACAACAGGTGCTGCAGCAGCAGCCCAGCAGTCGTCAGCAGCAGGAGCAGCTGCAGAGCGAGCGACTCAGGCGCAGGGGCCAACAGAATCAGGGGCTCAAGCGCCAAGGGGTGAAAGCGCCAGGGCACGACAGAGAGCCACAGAGACACAGGCGCAGCAGCCAGGGGAGAAAGCAGGTGGGACGTTGAGTGGAGAACAACGGGGTGCAAGGGATTCCAGTAGAGGGAGGGGGGCCGCAGGTGGGAGCAGGTGGGGGGGAATGCGGGGCAGGCAGTGTGTGGGCGATGATGCCGTGCCAGGGAGCACCATGGGACAGGGTTCCATCACCGAGCAAGGTGCTGGTGCTGGTGGCGCTGCTGTTGGTGGTGCTGGTGGTGGTGATGGCGGTGATGGCGGTGATGGCGGCAGTGGTGGTGGTGGCAGTGGCGTGGCGGCAAGCAGAAGGGAAGTGTTGAGGGAGCAGCTGGCAGCAAGATGGAGAGAGGCGAGAGCAGCGGGTGGCGACACAGGCCTGCGGCCCTCAGCTGGCTCAGCAGCAGCACCATCAGCATCAGCAGCAGCAGCAGCAGCAGCAGCACCACCACCACCACCACCACCACCACCTCCACCGCCACCTTCAGCATCAACATCGCCATCATCATCAGCATCACCACAAGCAGCAGTCTCAGCACCAGATTCAACATCAGTTCCAGCATCATCAACAGCAACAGCATCAGCAGCATTATCACCACCGCCACCTCCTTGGGACTACCTCAATCCTCCTCCACCCACCTCTGTACACCCACCGGCTGGACAATCACCGTCGTCAGTATCAACGCCTCCAGCATCACCATCCCCATCATCAGCACGATCAGCATCATCAGCACAACCCACATCGTCATCACAATTATCATCACCATCAGCACAATCAGCATCACTAGCGCCATCACCATTCCCCAGCCCGGCCATTGCCAACCCCCAACCACCATCCACTAAACCACCATCCACTGGAGCACAGACAGATTCGATCTCCTCCCAACCGCAAGCATCTCGTTCTCCCCCTCGGCAGCTCTCGACCGCGTCCCCTCCACAAGCATCCCTCCCTGTCCCTGTACAAGCACCCTCATCTTCTCCCTCTGTCTCTGCACCCGCTCCCTCCCAACCTTCCTATATCCAGTCCCAGCAAGCCCAACCCCTCTCTCAACCCTCCTCTCCTGCACCACCCTCATCTGTACTCTCACCCACTGCCTCCTCTCCCTCAACCCCACCCCCGCTCCCCACCTCCCCTCCACCTGCTGTGGCCTCTTCTCCCTCCCTCACACCTTCCCCATCCAACCCATCTGCCCCCCCCTCAGCCGTGACTCCTGTGCCTGCTGCACCAGTACTGTCTGCTCCTCCCCAGCCACCTGTGGTCGCCACTGGGGGAACAGTCCCAGTCACAGGTGCAGGCACAGGCACAGGCACAGGCACAGGCACAGGCACAGGCACATCAAAAGTGGGCGCAGGTGTGGGGTCTTTGCTGCAGGAGCAGCTTCAAGGGGAGGTGACGGGGGAAGGGAGGGGAATGGACAGAGGGAAGGGGGGGAAGCACGGAGAAGGGGAGGAAGGGGAGGGTGTGCAGCAGGCCATACTGTTCGAGGTGGACGGTGAGGGGATTCCCGATGTGGATTGGAAGGCTGAGATTCAACAGGCACTGGGAATGGACGGAGGGGATGAGGAGGAAGGTGGGGAGGAGAAAAAGGGGAGTAAGGGGAGTGGGGAGGAGACGAGGGAGAGTGAGGGGAAGTCAGAGGGAAGGGCGATTGAGGGTGTAAAAAGTGGAAATAAGAGTGTTTGGAGAGAGGTGGAGAGAGATGAGGGTTCAAGATTGGATCCACGTGAGGTGGCAGAGGAGGGAGTTGAGGTGGCCCCTGTGCCGGTGTTTGTTACAGAAGTCATTTCAGGTGCCTCGGTTCTGCCTGCTGCTGATGGTGGTGGTGACGAAAGCAAAGCTGCTGGCATGGAAAGCATGCGTGTGTCGTCGCCAGCAGGAGATGCAAGGGAAGTTGGTGAACGGGTGATGGGGTCAGGAGAGGCAGTGACACGAGGGAGGGCAGATGAGACCAGGCCACCATTACTGGGAGCTGCAGCAGCTGCACTTATAACTGAGGCTGGTAAGACTCAAGCAGCAGCTCGTGCAGAGTCAGATGCAACTAAAGGTTCAGGGAAGGGTGATGGACTAGGAACCCCTGCTGCCACTATTGACACCAGCGGTGGCAAGGGGGCCGGGATGGGGCTAGGAACATTGGGTAGCACAAAGCAAGGTCTATGAGTAATGAATATGGGATATTGTAATATGATTGCGAGGTGAAATTAAAACCTGATTGCTTTCGTTCCAACTCGTGATCGGTACCCTTCGATGTTTTCAGTTGTATGAAGGCGGCTCCTGTATTTCATCATTTAGTGAGATTTTAGGGGACAATGCTGTTGTATTGTGTTTACGTGTTTGTCAATATTTACTGCGATGCTAATTACACCAATTGTACACGCTGTTCAGCCTTGTCAGCTTGATGCTGCGCAGGATGGTCGGCCTGGTTGCGTGCTACAAATGGGCGTGCGAAGGTTCCTCCCACCATTTTCTCTGACGTTAGCCATCCCATCAGGCAGCTTGGCGATTGATCCCCAGTTCCGAGGATAGTCTGGCTTGGGCGGAAAAGAACAGCCAGGCCTCGATAACGCGATGACGCAATGCTGCAATCACGAAGTCACTCGGAAATCACTAAAACTGTCAGTAGGCACCTTCCGAGACTCTGGCTGAGTGCGTTTCTTTCTCACGTCTTGCGTCAGCAGCGTGGATCGACGGCCGATATTTGCTCGGTCTCAAAGCTTCCCATTCAGGGTTCAGGGATTTCGCTACTGTTCTGTATATCAAGGGAGGGAGCAAGCTGCCAGCACGACGAGACAAAACTGTGCGCTTCGATCGCGGAAGGAGATCACACTCAAAACTGTGGTGTGGAGGGCTTATTTTTAAAGAGTAATCACCCCGTTGTTTACCAAATAACGGGTGAGTTGCGACCAAAATCGGATTGGACGTGTTCGATTTTTATGAACCCGGACACTGACGGGTGCATTTTGACCAGAACACGTGAAGTGCGTGTCGGTTTTGAGGAACACGGATACTAAAACTTCTCACAGCACCCCACCGAACCCCGCAATTTCCCCTCCTCAGGGCAAATCAGCCCTAGCAAGGAAGTTCCAGAGATGGAAGGAAAAGAGTTGAGCAGAGTGCTCAGTAGTACATGGTTCCCTTAGTAGAATCCAGGAACTTTTCGTAAGAGCCTGGGACTGGGAAAACTCGAGTAACGTTTCACTTAAACCCATGAATCCAGGCCATTCGAGAGAGATACCCGGATCTGCCGTGTGGACGAAAACTCTGGTGTGGATTGAGTGGCTTTCGCGTGCCGGTCTGGTCAGCCAGCTGGTGGGGGAAGCGCTGGAGAGATTCCTGTCACTCCACGCCACTTCAAACCATGCACGTCAGCATCCTGGGTCCCGACGCGCTGCACCCCCTCCGCCAACCTCATAGCGCCCTGCAGTCCTTCCACGGAAGAGATGGGGGTGGGGGAGGGGGGTGGGGGGGGGGAGATAGGGGGTGGGGGTTGGGAGAAGGGGTGTTTTGCCTCACTATCCCCCCACCTCTCCTTCCCCACGACTTCCCCTGCGCTGAGTGACGCAACCAGCCCAGCGTCCGAACCTTCCACGTGGTCCCTTGCATCCTCGCGCTGCGGCTCAGTGATGCTAAGTGCAATCGCGACAACACCTCAGAACCGCTTATCACCACACTAAAACCGTCCAAACCAGACGGATCTCTCTCAGTTCCAGTTCCAAGCACCCAGCATAAATGGAAAGGCGCGTATTTCAGAGAGCCAATTCCAACCTCATTTGCATCCAACGCAGCAAAGTTGAACAGCGCTGCAGCCAACAGCATCAATTCCCACCTCGTCTTGGTTGTTGATAAGCAGCGACAGTCTCCTCCACATCCTTCAGTCAGTAGACGCTCCACAACAACCCACGCCCTTCGTGCTTGGGTCTTAGAGCAGCGGCGAAACCTAAATTTCCCTTTTATCCGCATTCTCCTTACGGCGATTAGCAATCGCCTCCAGCTCGAGTCAGAGCCGAACGTAGATATGGCGGAGGCCCAGATCGCCTATACTCCGCAGCTGACGCCGCAAGTGACGGCAGTCGATACAAGCAGCAAGATTCAAACAGAGGACATCCAAAAGAGATACCGCATCGGCCGAAAAATCGGCAGCGGTCGGTTCGGCACGGTCCACGAAGCTGTTGATAAGGTAACAGGTGTCCACGTGGCAGTGAAGGCGATTCCTAAGGACAAGAACAAATGCTCCCCCCTGGCGCTCTTCCGCAAGAAGGACAAGGCGGAGGCGGAATCCACCCTCCGCCTGCTCCGCGGCGAGGCAGAAATTAGCCAGGCGCTCGGCGGAAGGGAAGAGGGTGGACTGGAAGAAGGGGAGGCGGAGGGCCTTCTGGCGGAAGGGCGGGCGAATGTGGTGGAGGTACTATCAGTAGTGGAGGGGCGGCGTCACATGTACATTGTCATGGAGCTCTGCAGGGGCGGCTCGCTCGCCAGTTACCTCGAGAAGCGGAAGCGCGGCGAGGTTACCAGCCTCGCGCCTCCCGTTGCGACCACAGATCGCGACGGCACGGTGAACGCGGAGGAGAGCTTGTCGTCATACGTTCAGGGTGTGAAATTGGCCGAGCCTTCCGCCCATGGCGTGGAAGCGGAGTCGTTCGCCCGCCGCATCCGCCAGTTCAGCTCCGACGATCTCTCCTCTTCCTGCGCCGCTTCTGACGCGGGGAGGGAGTTCGACGACGAGCGCGACGCAGGGGCCGTTGCGGAGGGTCGGGGCGAGGCGAGTCACCACGCGATCTCCCCAGCGGCTACATCCGCTGCTACATCCGCTGGCTTTTCCGGCCTGGCTTTCCTCGAGCGCGGCGCGTTCGGCGCGGTGCGGCGGCAGCAACAGGAGAGGGAGGACGAGGCGGCATGGGCGGCGTTCGAGCTGGCGGCGGCCGTGGCGTACCTCCACTCGCAGGGCGTCGTGCATCGCGACATCAAGCCGGAAAACGTGCTGATCGCGCTGCCGCCCTCATCCTCTAGCACGCACACCGCCGCTACATCCGCCGCTACAGCTGGCGATTTTGCCACAGATGCGCGCAATCATCTCCGATCTCATTTCAAGAACCACTCCCGTCGCCACTCGTCCCACCGCCGATCTCAGCACCGAGCCAGCATGGGCAGGGACGGCGGTGTCGCGCTAAAGAAGCGCCTGGCGCTCGCTAGCGTCACGAGCACGCTGCAGCGGTCCACGTCTCGTAGAATCATCCCCATTGCAAGCAACCCCTCGCTTCACAAGCTCTCAGAACACGAGCTCCAACAGCAGCAGCAGCAGCAGCAGCAGCAGCAGCAGCAGAAGCAACGGTTGGTTCTAGCTGATTTCGGATTGGCTGAGAGGGTCAAGGAGGACGGCACAGTGCGACGCGGAATGGTGGGCAGCCCTGCTTACATCGCCCCTGAGGTCGCCGGAGGGCTGTCTGCCAGTTACCCCTCGGATATCTGGGGTATTGGCATCTGCCTCTTCCTGACCCTTTCTGGCGGGCAGCTACCCTTTTCGGGCCGCGACACGAGGACGCTTCTGAGAAACATCCGGCGGGTGGCGTTGCCTATGGGGACGGCGGCGTGGGTGGGCGTGTCGAGTGAGGCCAAGGCGGTGGTGCGCCACCTGCTGGCTGCAAAGCCCAGCGAGAGGCCATCGGCTACTGAGGTGATGCAGATGCCGTGGGTGGTGGAGGGGAGGAGCAGGTGGCTGAAGAGGCACTATGGGCGGTGCTAGGAGGGGATGGTGGGCGTGTCTAGTGAGGCAGGCGGTGGTACGACACCTGCTGGCTGCGAAGACAAGCGACAGGCCATCGGCTAGAGATGATGAGGTGATGGAGATGCCATGGCACTAAGGACAGTGAGAGTAGGGGCAAACTGTGAATAAAGGCAGCTTGGAGCAAGGCAATACAGCCTTTGTTGAGAGAACACGTCAAATGTATTTTTGCTTCTCTTGCACGAGAAGGTCTTTTATATTTCAGTGTACTTAAAGTGTATATTGGCTAGTCTCCTGTCTATACACTTATTGAATGTTTATGACACAAATAAACCCTTCCATAGTGCAGTAGGGCGTATTCCTACGAATGGTGTTCAGTACCAGCAACGGAAAATGGGTTCGGGAACTTTCTTACCGAGTCCAGTACCAGGACCAGAAGCCATCTTGAACGCTCACGGGCCTTGTGATTGGTGGATCGCCTCAATCAAATTGGCAAACACCACTTGGCACATCGCATGCAAGCTGCCTGCCAATCTATTCCGTCGAAACGAATTGTGCGAACCGTGCCGCACGCTTGCGAATCGAGCTATCATGGTACTGTACTGAACTAAGTTCCTGTAAATCGACAATTACAATTTACTGCACGGTGTTCAAGAGCATTTTTGGCTGTCCTGGTACTGAAAAATTATATTTTTTAACACACGTAGTGTTTTTCAAAAATTGTGTATTGTGAAAGCGAAGCTGACTGTACTGAAGCGTTGGGCATCGTCGAAGCGCGCTACTCGCCCTTCTCCAACTACATATACGTGGGTTGGAGCTCATTTACCTCCACCCACGTCTCTCATTTTTCAAACGGCTCAGTCAACCTTCCCGCTCTAGCTTTTCTCCCGTTCAAGCTGGCTAAGACTAGAACTTTGCCTCGCGGCGAGTCTCCCTCAACTCTTCTCTCCGACATTTTTAAGTTTCACCGATCCGTCATGGCTCCGACTACGAATAATCGCGGCGAGTCCAACGTCGTCACCGGCCACCCCAATTCCGAGTCTACTCGCCAAGCCCCGGAAATTGCGGGCGACCGGCGCAACAAGCGTCGGGCAGAAGAAGGGGCAACCGCCCCAACTGGGGTTGACGTTCTGCTGGGAGGGGGCGAGATCAACAGTCAGCTTGCTGACGCGCCCCCGCCCCCTTCTGAGCCACACGCGCAAGTGGCTGGGCAGAGCCAGCCACTCGCGCCTGACGCCGAGCAGCAGCACGCGCCAGCCCCGCAAGTGGCGGGTCCCTCTCGCCAGCGCAAAAGGGGGCGTGCCGCCCACCCCGACATTGCGGCTGCCTCGTCTGACGTGCCGCCCACCCCGACATTGACCCCGTCGTTGACCCCTGCGCACGTCAACGCGTTGTTGACGCTGTTACAGCAGCAGGCGACGAGTGTTACGGCCGCCGAAACTGCTCAACCTGCTGCTTCTGAATCTGCTAAAAAAGAACATGCAAAAACAGAAAAGGCCACACGCGGAACCAAGATGCCACGCCTCGCTAAGGACGCCATCGCCAGCATCCCGCCTGCCCCGGCGGCCGACAACGACAGCGACAAATCCGACAATGACGCTGGTGAGGTCCCCGGCACTGCTGCAAATTCAATTCCCATGGAGCATCTCCCACCACTCCCGACCACTAACACCACCCTCTCGGCGGCATCCTTCCTCAACGCGGCCGTGCGCGAGCAAGCGGAAGTCCTGGAGGACCTCCGGGCATACCTGAAGCACGCTGAGTTCAAGATGCAGCGTGACGATGCGCCGGGCGGCCTCGAATTCCTTGCCGACGCGCTCGCCCTCATATCGCGACGCTTCGAAGTCCTCCAAGTCGAAGACGCCTCCGTCTTCCGCACGGCCAAGCGTTTCAAGCTGTACCAGCAAAAGAGTCTGCTTACCTCCAGGCCTTTCAAACAGGCCGTCACTGACGTGGCTGCAATGGACCGCGCCGAGGGTGGGTTTGCTCGTGGCAATCACGGAGGCGGCCGCATGCCCATGTCGTTCGTGCCAAAGCGTGGTCCGCCACCCATGAGAGAATTTCGTGGCTTCCGAGGCAGTTGCTTCCGCTGTGGCCAGCCGGGGCATGTGGCCAGCGGCTGCCTGGCGATTGGGCATGGTGGCCAAGGACCCGCACCAGTGGTGTAGGGGTCGGGCCATGGGCGCTTGCGCAAGTGGCGCAAGGCACCCGGTGTGTGCGTAGGCCATTGGGCCCACCCCTTAGGGGCACGGGTGGCAGAGGGCCAGCCCTAGTGTAGGCCAATCAAAGGTCCTAGGATCAGAGCAAGGGAAGGGGAACATGCCCCCTCGGTCCCAAATGATAGCCCGACCTTGCAAGGCAGACTTTGCATGCCTAGGAGCATGTTGAGTAGAGATAAAGCTTGGTTAAAATAAGGAGCCGCGGTCCTTCATTTTTTTTTTCAGGTCTTGGTCCCCTAATATAACCAGAGAAAAGGGGGAGCAGCACCATAAGAGGCGCAGCAAAAAAAAAAAAAAAAAAAAAAAAGAGGGGGGGGGGGATTGAGCACGGAACGGGGAAGCATAGTGGGTGGCTCAACCCCCGCTGCATGTCACGCAGCACCCCCGGCCGGAGAAGGAAGGCCATCAGGAACACCAATGGCCCGCCACTTACCCACACAGAGTTGCTCCTCGATTGGACATGCAAAAAAAAAAAAAAAAAAAAAAAGAATTCAAGCATTATGCGAGCCTTTACAAGGCGCCTACCCTCCAACCCGGTGCGCTACACCCCGGCCCCTAAGCATTACCCCTCCGTGGGCATACAGGAACAGCCACACCAGCCTCATCTAGGGCTGCCCATCTTGGCATTGGAAAAAAAAAAAAAAAAAAAAACGAGTCACATAAGCATGCGCGCACGCACACGGTATGGCCCACGAACGGGAACAGCAACAAAACACCGCACGCATGCCACACAAGTACACAAGAGGTGGCTAGAAGAAAGACACAAAAAAAAAAAAAAAAAAAAAAAAAAACACGGGCGTTGAGTCTCAAAACCCAAGAAATGATAGCGCAAGCGAAGGCGGCAATAAGAGGGTAACATGCGTTCGCGAGTAGAAGCGCGGGCGAAGGCACAAGTTGTGGGAATACGAGGGCACCAAGGGAAGCAAACGTCGGGGCTCAGGTTCGAACGCAAGCTCGGCATGCGTAGGCGTGCAAACCGACACACACGCAGGTCACGCCGCTCAGACCCGCTCAAAGCGCAGGCACCCACCGACCTAAGCATCTTGCTCGCATGTGGCACCTCAACCCGGCACGCCCTCCTCAGCCACTAGGCTTCACACTCCCCCCCCCCCACGCTCTAGGTTTCCGGTAGGCATCAGCCCTGCAGATGAACTCAAGTATTCGTCCCTTGCTTCTCCTTGCATGATGGCACTCCCACAGGCACCAGACTTCGCGAATGTGCACACAACAGTGACCCCTACGAATACGCGGTTACTGACAAGATGGTCACCAAAATGCGTGGCCGCCTACGTACCACGTTCGCTTGGTGGAGCTCGTGGTGCACTAGCAGTTTCATCCTCTCAGTCATTGCCAAAGGATACTGGATGCCATGGAAACTCGGGCCGTCGCCGGCCTTTCACGATCGCAACCATGCCGGCGCACGCATCCACGAAGCATTCACGCGCACGGCCATCCTTGAACTCACCGAGACCGGCGCGGCCATCCAAATTCCTGCGGCGAAACTGAGATGCATAAGCTCACTCAACGTGGTCGAGCAGAAAGACAAGTGTCGCATGATTCTGGATCTCCGAAAGGTGAACGACGCAATAATCGTCCCCAAATTTAAATATGAGGGACTCAACCACGTAGCGGACCTCGCCCGCCAAGGAGATTGGATGTTCTCCATCGACTTGAAATCAGGCTACCACCATGTCGACATCCACCCCTCGTGCTGGACGTTCCTCGGCTTTGAATTCGACGGGCGCACATACGCCTTCCGATCCTTGCCGTTCGGCCTCGCCACAGCACCATTCGTCTTCACGCAGCTCATCAAGCAATTAGCTCGGCGATGGCGGGAGCAGGGGGTCCGTGTGATACCCTACGTGGACGATATCCTCTTCCTGTGCTCGACCCAGGCACACGCTCAAGCCACGTGCCAACGGATCGTTATCGATCTCAAGGCTGCCGGGCTCGTACTCAACTCAAAAAAGTCAGAGCTGATACCAACACAGCACCTTCGGTTCCTTGGCGTAGAACTTGACACACAGGCCGGCCGGTTCTCCATCGGCGAGGAGCGGCGAGCCACACTCAACGCCACCCTCCATGCCCTACTGCGCGCAAGCTCAGCTCAGCGGAAAGTCCCAGTCCGGCAACTGGCCCGAGTTACAGGCATGCTGGCATCGATGGCTGTCGCACTCGGCACCACCACCCGAGCGTTCAGCCACGCCATGCTAGAAACAATCAACGACGCGCCGACATGGACCAGCATGGTCATCCTCTCCCCACCCGCCATCGAAGAGCTGAGATTCTGGATCCAACAGTTCGACCGTTTCAACGGTGCCCCGTTCCATGTGCGGCACAGCTACGATGCAGTCATCCACATAGACGCAAGTGCCCACAGCTGGGGTGCCACGCTGGACACATTCCCTGGAGCCGCGATAGAGGCCAGCGCGGCAATGCCCGGAGCCCTTCATCCAACCTCCAACACATGTGCAAAGGCATCATCCAAAAATGCATGGAGTTCGAGATTCGGCTAATCATCGAATGGATCCCACGCGATCTGAATGGTCGCGCAGACGAGCTCTCCAAGATAGTCGACCTTGATGACTACTCGTTGAAGCTCCCATGGTTTCGCCTCCTCGAGCGTCGCTGGGGGCCCCACTCCATTGACCTATTCGCCAACCCCCAAAATGCACACCTGCCGCGTTTCTGCTCTAAGGTCCCCCACCCCGATGCTACAGCAGCCGACGCCTTCTCACTTGCCTGGACGGTTGAGAACAGCTTTGCATTCCCACCGCCCCAACTCATCCCCGCAGTACTCCATCACGCACAACGCACGAGCGCATCTCTCACCCTCATAGTCCCACACTGGCCTGGCGCAAGCTGGTGGCCGCTCCTCCAGCCCTCCCCTCCATCGTGGGACCCACACATCCAAGCACATATCCCTCTTACACACGGCAGCCAGTGTCTTACAGTCGGCACACATAGTCAAGCATTCTCAGGCACAGGATTACCCAACAGCACTATCGTCGCACTCCGCGTAATATTTGACTAACTAGACTCCCTCGCCTGTCCCCAGATCTGCTTCCAAAGCTCCAACATGACCAGCTTTCCATGCTCGCCCGCTCTCGTGCCGACTCGACCATCCGAACATACGAGCCTTACTGGGTGAAGTTCCGCGCCTTCTGCACGAAGGTCAACCTAACGTTCTTGCCGGCATCGGACATGACCCTCGCGCTCTACCTTGTGTATGTCATCCAACGCAAGGCCTCCTTGTCGGTGGTTCAGCTCACATGCTCCGCCGTGAGCTTTGCCCACAGGATGACAGGCTCAACATGCCCAACCACCGGCCCTTTCACCTCCCAAGTGCGCGACTTCACGAAGCGACACTGCCTGTGCCCTAACAGGATTAAAGAGCCAGTCTCACTCCATCAGGTCCACGATATGGCAGCCTCCTTCCTACAGTCAACTAACCCGGCTGTGTTCCAAAAAGGACTGATCCCGATTCTCATGTACGCCGGTTTCTTGCGCTACTCGGACCTGGTGGCCATCCAATGGCAGGACATCCAATTTAAAGATGAAGCGATGTGGCTACTCATCCCCCACTCAAAAACCGACCAAGCCGGCCAAGGCACCTGGATTCCTATCGCGGCAAGCCCCGGACCCTTTTGTCCGGTCCAGGGCACCCAGAGGCTCATCCAACTCGCAGGATACAGCCTCCAGTCCTTGGGAGCGCTCATCCGGGTATTCTGACCCCACCTACCGAGCCACGGCACAGCCAGACCGCCCTCATACACCACAATCCGCAACTGGTGCAAGGAAGCCTTCGCGAAAATCGGTCTGGGAGAAGAGCACCTCGGCACCCACTCCTTTCGGAAAGGCGCGGCCACAGTTGCTGCCAACTCTGGGGTTCCTGACAGGATCTTCAAACGCCTGGGCCGTTGGCGTAGTGAAACCGCGAAAGAGATGTACGTCACGCCCGCGACCGATCATCTGGTTGGCGCGTCTCGACGCCTGCAAGACCCGGCGGCGGCACCATCCTCTGCACAACACGCTGAGGCACTTCTCCGCCACCGCAAGCCCCCACTGCACATGTCTCAACGACCCCACTTGAAATGAGAACGATGCCTATTGCAAAGGACAAGAAAGCAAGCTTTCTCAATATTATAATTTTTAACACACGTAGTGTTTTTCAAAAATTGTGTATTGTGAAAGCGAAGCTGACTGTACCTAAGCGTTGGGCATCGTCGAAGCGCGCTACTCGCCCTTCTCCAACTACATATACGTGGGTTGGAGCTCATTTACCTCCACCCACGTCTCTCATTTTTCAAACGGCTCAGTCAACCTTCCCACCCACCCCCCCCTCTAGACAACCATGCCACTCTCCAATGGACAGCCGGTCACTTGAACGGGAGCACACAACTAGGATCATGATGTGTGTATGTTTAGATTCTTATAAGCTAGTAAGCGACTATTGTACCATGCCACTTGAAATGAGAACGATGCCTATTGCAAAGGACAAGAAAGCAAGCTTTCTCAATCCATTCGTAGGAATACGCCCTTAGTGAAGTGGCTCCCCTCAGGTCTTAGAAACATTGTACATGACGTGTTTTTGAGAGAGGGGAGCTGAAGAGCTGTTACAACCATTAGTAGACAGACACACACCATTGCAGTGAGGCCACACTTTGTGACACCTACGAGCGGAGAAAAGACGAGGGGTCAAAGTCTATCCCAGGAGGCATGGAGAGGGAAGGGGGGGACGGGATGAGGAGAGGCGAGTCCGGGGAAATGCCCGCTCGCTGCCGCTGCTGCCGCTGCCGCTGCTTCTGCTGCTCCTTGCGCCGCTGGACGAAGTCAAAGAACGCCTGCACCTGCCTCGTGTACCTGAAGCATGTGTGTGTGAGTCAAGAAAAGGAAGAAATGCAGAAGCGTAGTCGGCGGTAAGGGGTGGCTTTCCGTCTTTAACCCAAGAATGCCTGCACCTGCTTTGAGTGCCTGAAGCAAGTATGATAGGAGCCCAGAGCCAGAGCAAGGGAAACACAAATGAGTGGTAGAGGCATAAAGGGGTGGGAGGGCTGTTTCAAGGGCACATCAAGGCTATTCGGGGCAGGAGAGTGATGAGAAGGGCGATTGGATTGGAGACCAGCAGAAGAAGATGAGATGCAGGGACGAATGGCAGGGGACAGTTGCCACCACGTTGTTGGTGTTGCTGAAAGTGCGCCATGGATCCAAATCCAGCAGAGCACGGTAAAGCACAGCACTTGAAGATGCATGGGCTTGGGGAAGAAGTTGGGGTCGGAAGAGGGGGAGGGGGGGCGCTCACAGTTCCTTTGCATCTCGGTCGTGGATGAGGTCGATTTGGGCATCACAGTCCAGCACCAACGCCGGCACCTGCAAGGCAATGGTAGAGTAGAGAACATGGGAAGATATGCTTGTCAGGCTGAGACCGATGTGAGGAAAATGCAGACGACAAGGGGAACACGAAAAAGTGGGCTTGAGACAGACCACTCCACAACTTCCCCACAACAGCTCGCCCCACACCTGCCCACTACCGCATAAATCGTTTCCCAATCCAATCCCACCCACCCACCTGCGGAACGCACATGCTAGATGGTATGGTAACAAGCGATCCCCAAGCATGGCCATTTGATCCCCAAACTGCAAGCCCACCTGCTGAATGCTGGAGTGCAGGTGCTCCCCCTCCAGAGCGAACACCCTCCCCTTGATGATCTCTGGGGTATAATTCTCCACCTGCTCTCCCCCATGAACCTTCTCCTATTCCCGACCCACCCACCCCACCCGCCCACCTGCTGAATGCTGGAGTGCAGGTGGCCGCCCTCCAGAGCGAACACCCGCCCCTTGATGATCTCCGGCGTGTCATCCTCCACCTGCTCTCCCTCCGCCCCTTTCCCCCCCCCTCGCCCCCTCCCTCCCCTCAACCACTCTGGCTGAACCACAGCGACCCTCGGCCTCACTCCCTCCCTCACCACACCTCCTCCCCACACGCCCCCTGGTTCAGCCGGCAGAAGCCACTGCTCGTGCTTGTTGTGCAGGTCAACCAGGTAGTCCAGCGACACCCCGGCCTCCTCCCCTCTCGCCCTCTCCTTGAGGCGGCGGTGGCACGTGTCGGGCTGAGCCCGCAGGTAGATGAAGCCGTCGGGGACGAGCCCGGGGAGCGCGGAGACCACAGGGTCGAACCAGGAATCGTAGATGCTGACCTCCATCTCGCTCATCCACTTGGCCTCGTGCACTGCTCGCACGAATACCTGCACGGGGAGTTCAGGGGGGTAGGAGGGGGAAAGGTGCAGGGGAACGAGGGTGGAACCAGGAATCATTGACGCTGACCTTCACCTCGCTCATCCACTTGGCCTCGTGCATTGCCCATACAAACACCTGCATTGGGGTGGGGGTGGGGGCACGCAAAGGAGCGAGGGCATGAGGGCCCCCCTTCTCTCCCGTTCCTTCTCACCGTTCTGTCGCTGAACGCTCAGCTCCGTATGAGCCTGATCGTGAACACCAGCGTCAAACAAAATACCTCCTTCTCCCCCTCCACCCACCTCCCCTTCTCCACCTCCTCCTCTTCCTTCCAATTCCCTCGCTCTCACCATTCGGTCGCTGAACACGGATCTCTCCATCAGCCTGATCGGCCGCGCGCCCCCCGCGCTCTCCCGCTCCTGCATCATCCGCGTTACAAACACGTAGTTCTGGAACGTATAAGCGTACCGCTCCGGCTCCTCATAGAACGCCTCTAGGATGTTGAATTTCTCCTGCCCCACGCTTTGCCACCTGGCAACCGGCTCAGGCACCACCTCCACCAAGTCATGCAGCTTAACTGCATCGCCTACTATCCGTTCTAAGAACGTCGTCTTCCCCACGCTGATATTCCCCTCTACACAGAATGTAAGTCTGTTCTTCTGCCTCCCTAGATTTCTCCCCTTTCCCCCGCCTCCATCCCCTCCCTCCGCGCCAGACTCCCCCGCGTCCTCCCCCGCGCCTTCCCCCTCCCCCGCGTCTTCCGCGTCCGCTCCCCCGCCCTCCTCCTGCGCGACGCGGAGGCAGACGAAGTCCGTGATCCGCGCGGCGTGGTCCTTACGTATGATGCCCACGTGGCTCTTAAGATACTCCTGCATCGCGCTCCGGCCCTTGGCAGCTTCGTGGAAGGCGAACTGTTAAGACGGTAAGGAAGGGGATAGCAACAGTGCGGGGAAATAGGGTTTTAGAGACGGAAGATAATGATTCATGCGTGACGGCCGGCGATGGGATGTAGATGGACGGGAGAGAATGCACATCCTCCGCCCACTCTTGCTGCTCGTATACCCGCTTTCTCTTCTCTCCACTGAGACCCTCACGCGAATTTCTCACCTTGTCTCTGTACAGTTGAGTCAGACTCGCGACTTCGCTAAACCCCCGGGCTTTAAGCTTCTCCAGATTCCGCGGGCCCACGCCAGGCACCGTTAGAAGGTCGCTCAATACAACGCCATCGCCTTCCGAGCCGAACGCCGCCAGACCTACACCGCCGGCTCGGCGCCTCCTCACCACCAAAACCGTCTTCCGAACCTCCTCTTTAGCTTCGGAAGCATCTCCGGAGCCGGCTTCGGCAGCACCCGTGCTAGAGTCATCCGACCGTGCCTTCGCTGTCAGCTGGGCAGTTGCTTCGGCTGTTGCTTCGGCTGCTGGTTCGGCAGTATCATTGGCGACTGCTCTTCGGTCAGGTTCTTGAGAAGCGTCGCCGATGTTGCTGGCCTCAGAAATGGGTGCTGCTACTTCAGACGGGGTGTGCTCGGAGTGGATGGCCCTGGGGAACTGACGGGCGCGTAACGACGGCGACGCACGGAGAGGAGCGAACGAAGGCGACCGTGGCGTTGATACTGAGGACGACAGTAACGAGGATGCAAGTCGCGATGGCGAAAGCGGCCTGCAGGGATTAAAAAAGCAGACGGCGCTGTGGAGTGGTGGACGAGGGTTTGGGAGAGCGCGGACTAGGTTGCTGGGAGCAATGGATTTGCTACCGTTGCTAGGTGGAGCGAAACTGCTCGGGGAAACGCCGCTGCTGAACGCGTCAGTATTGCCGACTGATGCAGAGACGACCGAAAGGGATTGTAACTGTGCGATGCGACACGCCATGGCCGAGTCGATATGACCAGGAAGCGATAAGAGAACGCGGACGAGGCGCTTGTTTCTACATGCAGCCACTCTCATTGCTCAGAGCGTCGGGGCATTCGGATAGGGTAGATACGAAGCACGGCGACGGATACGCGCATAGCCACTGGACAGCGTTCTGGCTGCATGGTTTGCGAGGATTAGACTGTCATGATCAGCGGAAATGAGACATGGACGACTCTAGGGTTTCTGGAATCCTGGATTCCAGCCTCCCTAAAAAAGCTGAATTTCCGGGAAAGACTAAGAAGAATACTAGCTTGACTGACAAGGGCACCTGGACCTAATCCGTTGCTGATGCTTTGATTGTAAGGTATGGGCACCCTGAAATATGGTCTACTCAGGAACTAGGGAGAGCTTCGGAATTAGGGCGTGGGACAAGTGCGAACAGAAAGCCAGTTTTCAGAGAGGTTGGAAATGGTTTATTGTGGTTTTGTGTGTTACAGTCAAAACGAAGCGTGGTACAGTGCGGTGAGCGGACGAACAAGCCGCAGTTATGCTTGGTTCACAGCACTGGCAGTTCAAAGAGACCGATATCGAGGTTCTTAAGGATCATAACTCTTCGATTTATAACACACATGTTTTGAACTGTACCCTTCACATGAAAAGTACCCTTTCATCATGTTTATCCTCGAACATGCCGACCGAAGCACGCTTCAGCAATGCGCGACACGGAGACCTCGAGGATGGTCTGAGCCAATCTCCGCCGTTCATCGATCGAATTCCGTAATTCGGATTCTTGAAGCACAAATTCCATCATTGGCAGTGTCCAGGCTGGTCATAGCGCAGATGATACAAAACGATGGGACACTGAGAACTTGTCTATCTTGTGCAGTGGCCCTGATCGGGAGAGGCAGAGCTGGTGCAAGCATCATGGCTGAGGGACTCTGGCGAGGGCCTAGCGCTGATCAGGATGTCCGATTTTCTGACAAAGACTCGCAGCTCCTCAGGACACAGCGGTTCGCAAAGATCTTCGATAAACCTGTACGCTGGCTCCCCGCGTCTCTCGCAAGTAGTGGTGTTACCGTGAGAATTCCTCAGCTAATCGAGAGTTCCTTCATGCAGGTGGATATGAAGAAAGTGAAGAAGGAAGTCATCTACCCATGGATAGCTAGGAGAGTGACGGAATTTCTTGGAGTTGAAGATGAAGTTCTCATCAATTTCATTTTCAGTCTTCTGCAAGAGGAGGTACTACAAGCTTACAACAAAAGCTTTGCTCCATGAAATTGATTGCTAACCTTGTGTTGTGCGTTCTATGACAGTTGTTAATTTCAAGTGGACTGTTCTGTGGTTAACAAACCGAACCTTACTGTGCTACTACTGCCACCTCTCATTTCTCCTGATGCAGAAGGTTGATCCGAAAAGAATGCAGATACAGCTGACGGGGTTTCTAGAGAATCACACTACGACTTTCATGAAGGAGCTTTGGAGGATCCTCCGTAACGCGCATCGAAATGAGCACGGAATCCCCCAGAAGCTCTTGGATGACTTCGCCGAAGAGAATGGATTAATCGTAAGATTTTCAGGTTCTTTGCCCGTTTGATCTAATCTTGTGAACTCCTTCAACGAATTTCATCATTTTCTCACTCTATTTTTTCAGCCTACTGAGGTAGAGGATGCGAGGAAGAAGGCATTAGAAGCTGCTGCAAGACTCTCGTCAGATCTTCTTGAGGATACGCGAAAGGAACGCGACGTGGAAGTGCAGACGATCGGAGATGGACATATTCAGCGATGCAACAGGAGCAAGGCTGTTGACATGCAAGATAAGGAAGACTGGACAAGGTATGGACCCTTTTCTAATTGCATTCTGTCCGTCCAGCAGCTCATTTCGCCGACACTCAATTGTGTCTGATTCCTCATTTTCAGGAATCGCCGCTCACCCAGTCCAAGTGGTCGACGAGATGTCAATGGTCAGAAGCGTAAAAGGTTCTCGAAACATTATGGACATCGTCACGCTTACAAGGATCGGTTTCGGCCCTGTTTCAATTCTAACCGTTCTGGTTCCGCTTCTGACTTTCGCCAACAAACTCAGTGGCAACGCAACTTCCGACGCCATGACTGCAACTCACCACGATTGTCGTGGCAACATTCATCTAGAAAAGAGGATACTGGAAGGTCCTTTCGAAGAAACAACTCGAACCAGCACAATTCTATTGGCAGAGGAGACGAAATGGCATTCCCCCCCGGATTCAACTTTCCGCGGAGAGAGACAGGGTGTTTGGCAGAAGTGGATGTCATCAATGAGCGCAAAATGACTTTCCCACCGGGATTTGAGAAGAAGATCAACGCAGATTTCCATGTCATACAAGACAAGAAGCCGCCCCAGTCACCACCCTCCAGGTTTGAGTGTCGTCGAGCACGGCGTTCTCCAATCCAAGCAAGGTCAGTCCCACTTCATTGCACAGTTCTTTGTTCTGACTCTTATGCTAATGGTTCTTCGTTTCTGTTTTCAGAAGTTTCAAAAGGCAACTCAGTTGGAGGACCAAACCTGACGCGCATGGGGGCATGGACGAGCACGACGATGAAGCTACGGACGCACAGCTGTTTCAGACTATGGGGGACGCCTCGAAGCCTACTGTCAGCACTGCACAGGCTGCTGAATATAATCAACATGCTGCTGATGACGTGGCACACGCTTCTGGTGACCTTCCACCAACTGATGCTGGTAACACTGCACGAGCTGCTGTTGACACTGTACCAACTGCTGGTGATACCATGTACGCTGCCTACAACACTGCACTCATCTCTCCTTCACTCTTGACTGCTACAGCTTCAGGAGCAGACAATGCTTCGCATGGAGAGGACAAGGTCCAGGAAAGACCGGACCAGCAAGACTCAAGTCACCAAGTTGAAGACATGGACATCTCGTCTGAGGACGAGTCTTCTGGGAAGAAAGCCGTGATGGATTCAGCAGGCTCCGCTGGAGAGTGGGACGGCCTGGAGACAAGGGAGGAGAGGAAGGCACGGAGGAAGGAAAGGCGGCGCCTGAAGGAAGAGAAGAGAGCACGGAAGGAGGAGAGGCGGCAGAGACGGGTGGAGAAGCGGCTCCGTAAAGAAGAGAGGCACGCTGCAAGGGAGGCACGAAAGAAGATGAAAACTGAAGGAGATATTGCAGATGGCTGGGTGCCTCTCACAATGATGGAAGCCGATGCATTGAAGCAAGACGCTGAGATCCACATCTGCTCACAGGACTTTGAAGAGAGAGATAGGAGGTGGCTTGACACCTTGCTTCTTGATGACCCTGCTGCAGACACTACTCAGCCAGAAGATCCAGAGTGGGAATCCATGCCAAAGCTAGCAGCAGCAGGCAGTGGCCGCAAGGCATCACAGGAGCATCACAAGACCATTACTGCAGATGAGCAGCGCAAGGCAGATCTCGAGAGGGATCTCAGGATGAAGGCCATGCAGTCTCTGCAAACGAGGCGCCTGACACAGACTGAAAATTTACTGCCTTGACTAGGCGAGAACAATGCAGAGCTCAAGAAGAATGGTAGGCTAGGCTTCTCTCTTGCATGTATGGATGCTTTTCATTGTTCTAACAATTCATTATTCACCCAACCATTTCCTAGTGCCGTTGATGGCAAAGCCTTACCCCTAAGCTGCATCACCATTCTCCACGCACAAATGTTGCTAGAAAAATGCTCATTGAATCAGTGACATTTAACAAGGGGCTCAGGCATAAAGAACCCTAACAACGGATGGACAATCCTGTGGGTGCAAACCGAGTGGACGCCTTGATTTGATCAGTCGAACAGGCTGAAACCCATGTCCTGCACAATAATAAGAGAGAGACGGGACGGGGAAACGGGTATGGGATTATGGGATTAGCTAGCTGAAAAGCTAATGACGAGGCAAGAAGCAACGCGTGATCTCCTTCTGCGTGTCTGTCTCGACAAGGTTGACGTGTTCCAAAGGCTCCGTACTAAATACTGAAAATCGTGACCGCATCTTGCTCCCCACTGAGATCTACGAACTGCTCAGATACAGACACTACGCGATTGAAATCTGCCTGAGAACCGCCCGTCAGACAATCCAGCGACCAGTCCTGCCTGTTGCGGTAGCCGAACAGAATTGCTAACGCTTTGCAGGGAGTTGTCACAGGTAAGGACGTCACTCGATATTGGCTTGTACCTAAAGCCCCTCCCAGATGAACGCTTGACAGGAACCACCTGTGAATCTCGCAACGTCATCTCAGCTAACCCATGACGCTTCATTCTCATCTCTTGACGCTACAACTGGTCCTTAGCTATGACTACGCGCGTAGGGAGAGGGATTAACGGACGGGGTTTAAACGGCAAGAGAAAAATAGAAGCAAGGATCGTGGATAGAATAGTGAAGGGGCGGAAATAATGAAGGAAGAAAAAACATCGTCGAAGAAAAAACACTCGATACGTACATCGTCAGACTCTTCCTTCTCCTCTTCCTTCTTCTCCTCCTTCTTCTCCTCCGCGGGGGCCGCAGCAGCAGCACCGCCACCGCCGGAGGCGGCAACGGCGACGCCGCCACCGCTAGGCACGGCGGCGAACTTCTCCCGACCGGCGGCGATGACCTCGTTGATGTCCTTGCCGTCCAGCTGCTTCAGCAGCAGGTCTATCCTGTCGTCATCGGCCTCCGCACCCACTGCGCACCCGCGGAAACGGGAAGTTGAGAGGAAAAAAAGGAATATGGAATGGTTAGGTTAGCGGGCCCCTAAAACGCCAGTGGCCTGAAATTCGCCGGAAATAGGGATATCTGGCTATGGAGGTACCCGCTGAACACATCCAGATCCCACAGTCGGACCCTTTGTGCGAAGAGTGATGTGAAATGAACTGTTGCAATGGCTCAAAACCCTAAGAGTGCGTCGTGAGATCGAGAGAGGGTTAGCGAGGGCATGCCTGACGAGAGAATGCCCTTGATATCGGCGGCGGAGGGGCTCGCGTTGCCTCCGAGAAGCGCGAGGAGGTAAGCGGCGACAACCTTCATTGTGGCTGTTCGGGTGGGGTCGAACGTGTGCGACTAAGGAAGCTTAGGAGCGGGAGGGTGAAGGTAGAAAGGAGGGCGAAAGGATCGCAGATATGCTGCTATTGGGGCTTTGAGGGTATGGGAGGAGGCAGGGAGAGAAAGGGGAGAAGCAGAGGGAAGGTGGGGAGGGAGAGGTGGGGGAGGGGTTGCGGAGAAAGGCCTGCGCAGAAGGGCGGGAGATGGGGAAGTGCAGCTCGTCGGGCGGGCGCGCCAACAACAGCAAGGCCCAGGCCTGGCGGAAGAAGCGCGGTAGGGGGAAAATCGAAGCTGACGTGGTGAGCCACGGAGAAGTACCCCATAGTGAGTGTGACCCAAACGATGGCGCACTTCTCTTGCTCTTGGTGCTGATGCTTGCAGAACATTTTCTACGATCACAACTCGCTAATTTCGCTGGAGGTGGGAGCTTTTCAAATCACTATTCGTGTAGCGCAGCACTTCGAAACGAGATCGTGGACTCCCGGGAAGTAGCTTCTCCCTTGCATGACCATTTTCTATCTCTGCTGCTCTGCATGGAGAAAGAGGGACAGTGGCCCACACTGTAAGGATTCTAGTGCGGTACAGAAAGTTACAGGAACTTATCGTGCGGTTCAAGCAAGCAGAAAACAATCAGAGATCCAGCCGTAACTTTTTTTTCTGCACAATTCCTCAGCTCTTGTTGCTTTGGTAGTAGGGTTTGCTGTTGCTCTCGGCTGCACGCTACCTCTTCGCCTTTGCGTCAACATGGCGCTCTCCAGTGCAGGCAGTCGCCTAGACGCGGGATAAAGCGCATTGCGAAAAGACGTCTCACGGCTTTACTTCAGCGTCTAAGTTTAGGTTTGCGATTTGCCGGTATTGGACCTGGGTTTCTAGATCCGTGCTGAGACTGACATCAGTGACCTAGATCTCAGCAGGAATTTTCCTCAGCTTATCTTCGCCGATTGCTTTCTGCACCGGTGCACCGGCCTCTGATTAGTTTTCCCTTTTTAGTTTGCCGTCTTTTCGTACTTACCAATTGCTTTATCGCACGAAGCCATGGCGGGCCGCTACCCGTACTCCGGTCCGGGAAGCAGCATCCAGCAGCAGCAGCAGCATGCCTTACCTCCGAATTCCGAGGCGGCTTTAGAGGAGAAGGCGCGGAAGTGGCAGCAGCTGAACCAGAAGCGGTATGCGGAGAAGCGGCGGTTCGGGTACGTGGAGCACCAGAAGGAGGACATGCCGCCCGAGCACGTGCGCAAGATCGTGCGCGACCATGGTGACATGAGCTCGCGCAAGTTCCGCCGCGATAAACGCGTGTACCTCGGCGCGTTGAAGTTCGTACCGCATGCGGTGCTGAAGCTTCTTGAGAACATGCCCATGCCGTGGGAGCAGGTAATGTTTGATTTTTATTTTTTTTATTTTTTTTTCCCCGTCACCTTCCTGAACTGAGTTTTTTCTTGAATCTAGGTCGTCGTTCTGTGGAGATGTTGCTTTTCTTATGGCGAAGTCACCAATTGATTCCCAGGAATCCTTAATCCCTCGAAACTCCTCCTTTCAGTCTCAATTTGCGTATTTCTTCCCGATCGCCCGCCTTCTTTCTCTCTGATCGCTTTTTTCGATCATCTTGTCTTTCTCGGATCCCTTAGCCATTGTCGTTGATCTCCCCTTGTCCAAATTTCTGTCGTCTGATCTCCTCTCTCCTTTCCCCTTGATGATCCCCTTCTCCCTACCAGGTCCGGCACGTGAAGGTGCTGTATCACGTCACGGGCGCGATTACCTTCGTGAACGAGACGCCGCTGGTGATTCCGTCCGTGTACATGGCGCAGTGGGGCACCATGCGGATCATGATGCGCCGGAAGAAGCGCCTCCTCCTCCTCATTTTCTCTCCCCTTTCCCTCTCATCCCCTCTCTCTCTGCTGTCAGGTCCGGCACGTGAAGGTGCTGTACCACATCACAGGCGCCATCACGTTCGTGAACGAGACGCCGCTGGTGATTCCGTCCGTGTACATGGCGCAGTGGGGCACCATGTGGATCATGATGCGCCGGGAGAAGCGCGACCGCCGCCACTTCAAGCGCATGCGCTTCCCGCCCTTCGACGACGAGGAGCCGCCGTTGGATTACGCGGAGAACGTGCTCCACGTGGACCCCCTGGATGCCGTCCAATTGGAGCTCGACGAGGAGGAGGACTCCGCCGTCTACGATTGGTTCTACGACTCCAAGCCGCTTGTCAACACGCGATTGGTCAACGGGCCGAGCTACCGCAAGTGGGAGCTTTCCGTTCCCATCCAAGCAACCCTCTTCCGCCTAGCGGGGCAGCTCTTATCGGATCTGATCGACGAGAACTACTTCTACCTGTTCGACCTAAAGTCCTTCTTCACCGCGAAGGCGCTCAACATGTGCATCCCCGGGGGCCCCAAGTTCGAGCCGCTGTTTCGGGAGAAGCCCGAGGCGGAGGAGGACTGGAACGAGTTTAATGACATCGGCAAGCTCATCATTCGCACGCCCATCCGCACCGAGTACAGGATCGCGTTCCCGTGGCTGTACAACAGCCGGCCCAGGAAGGTCGCCGTGCAGGCGTACCACACGCCGCAGGTGAGGCTGGGAATTGGAGATGGGTGGGGGGGAGATGGATGGGAGAGAGATCTGTGGGAGAGTGGGAGAGAGATGGTCGCAGGGGGGGCCGTGGCTGTACAACAGCCGAATGGGCGCGAGAGGTGGGTGCGAGAGAGAGTGGGGTGGAAGAGTGAGGTGGGTTCGAGTGGGGAATTAGTGAGCGAGAGCTGATTCGAGGCCGTTGATGGGAAGCAGGTTGCTGTTGCTCTCATGTCCATCGCGTTCATATCCCTTCAACATTTGAGGCGCCTCAAAAGTAATATCCCTTCAACTTCTCTGGTTCCCAACCAAAACTTCCATTCCCAAACCGCGAGTAATGGTATAAAATAAATTAAGTATACTATTATGAGCTTACGCCTTCTCGCAATCGCCACTATTCCCAACCTTAACCTTGTGCTCTTTCCCCCAATCTCCCCTCATCCCTCCCCTCCCCCCCTTCTCCCCCCCTCCTCCCCACCCTCCCCTCCCGCCCCCAGGTGATGTACATCAAGTCGGAGGATCCGGACCTGCCCGCCTTCTACTACGACCCGCTCATCCACCCCATCCCGCACTACCGCTCCGAGTCCCGAGCCTCGCGCGCAGCCCTAGAAGAAGAGCTCGAGGAGGAGGAATGGACGCTCCCCGAGGGGGTCGAGCCCCTCCTCTCCTCCACCCCCCTCTACACCGACGCCACTGCAGCCGGCATCGCGCTCCTCTGGGCGCCGTACCCGTTCAACCGCAGGTCTGGGAGGACGCGGCGGGCAGAGGACATCCCCCTGGTGGCGGGGTGGTTCAAGGAGCACTGCCCGCCCAACCACCCGGTGAAGGTCCGCGTGAGCTACCAGAAGCTGCTGAAGCTGTGGGTGCTGAACGAGCTGCACAAGCGCCCGCCCAAGTCGCACAAGAAGAGGGACCTGTTCCGGGCACTGAAGCAGACCAAATTCTTCCAGTCGACCGAGCTGGACTGGGTGGAGGCCGGGCTACAGGTGTGCCGGCAGGGCCACAACATGCTGAATCTGCTCATCCACCGCAAGAGCCTGCACTATCTTCATCTGGACTACAACTTCAACCTCAAGCCCGTGAAGACGCTCACCACCAAGGAGCGGAAGAAGTCGCGGTTCGGCAACGCGTTCCACCTGTGCCGGGAGATCCTCCGGCTGACGAAGCTGGTGGTGGACGCGCACGTGCAGTACCGGCTCGGGAACGTGGACGCGTTCCAGCTCGCGGACGGGCTGCAGTACATCTTCTCGCACGTGGGGCAGCTGACGGGCATGTACCGGTACAAGTACCGGCTCATGCGCCAGGTGCGCATGTGCAAGGACCTCAAGCATCTGATCTACTACCGCTTCAACACCGGGCCGGTGGGGAAGGGCCCCGGGTGCGGGTTCTGGGCGCCGGTGTGGCGCGTGTGGCTGTTCTTTCTCCGGGGGATCGTGCCGCTGCTGGAGAGGTGGCTGGGGAATCTGCTGGCGAGGCAGTTCGAGGGGCGGGCGAGCAAGGGCGTGGCGAAGACTCTCACGAAGCAGCGCGTGGAGAGCCACTACGACCTGGAGCTGCGGGCGGCAGTCATGCACGATATCTTGGACATGATGCCGGAGGGGGTGAAGCAGAACAAGTCGCGCACCATCCTGCAGCACCTGTCCGAGGCTTGGCGCTGCTGGAAGGCCAACATCCCCTGGAAGGTGCCCGGGCTGCCCGCGCCCATCGAGAGCATGATTTTGCGGTACGTGAAGATGAAGGCGGACTGGTGGACCAACGTGGCGCACTACAACCGGGAGCGGATCCGGCGCGGGGCGACGGTGGACAAGACGGTGTCGAGGAAGAACCTGGGGCGGCTCACACGGCTGTGGCTCAAGGCGGAGCAGGAGCGGCAGCACAACTACCTCAAAGACGGCCCGTACCTGTCGCCAGAAGAGGCTGTGGCGATCTACACGACGACAGTGCACTGGCTGGAGTCGCGCAAGTTCCAGCCGATCCCCTTCCCGCCGCTGTCCTACAAGCACGACACCAAGCTGCTCATCCTCGCTTTAGAGCGCCTCAAGGAGCCGTACAGCGCGAGCGTGCGGCTGAACCAGCAGCAGCGGGAAGAGCTCGGGCTCATCGAGCAGGCGTACGACAACCCGCATGAGGCACTCTCCCGCATCAAGCGCCACCTGCTCACCCAGCGCGCTTTCAAAGAAGTCGGGATCGCGTTCTTCGACCTGTACACGCACCTGGTGCCGGTGTACGACATCGAGCCCCTGGAGAAGATCACGGACGCGTACCTGGATAACTATCTCTGGTACGAGGCGGACAAGAGGCGGCTGTTCCCCAACTGGGTGAAGCCCGCCGACACGGAGCCGCCGCCGCTGCTGGTGTACAAGTGGTGCCAGGGGATCAACAACCTCCACAACGTGTGGGAGACGGAGGATGGCCAGTGCGCCGTGCTGCTGCAGTCGCGCTTCGAGAAGCTCTTTGAGAAGGTGGACCTGACGCTGCTGAACCGGCTTCTGCGCCTCATCTGCGACCACAACCTGGCCGATTACAT